ATATTCGGGGACCATCCTGCTTTCAATTGAGTATCATTATAGTTTGTGATTAATTATTAATGTTTTTATTGCTTTTATCCTGTTTTATATGGGCTTTGCCCCTTGTAAGCCGCCCTGAGCCCGTTTCGCGGGGAGGGTGGGGTAAAAATCCCAATAAATAAATAAATAAATAAGAGGCAGGGGCACAAAACCTCAAGGACTTTCTGGCTCAGTCTTGTTGTGAGTAAAGTCAGTTTTGTCCCTCATGTCTGAATACAGCCTCAGACTATACTAACACATTTTTATGGTATTTATATCTCTCCCTTTCTTGTACCTGTTCTTAGAAGAAAACTCCATTGGAAGCTTTTCTTTAATTTAACGACTTGCACTGTTTCTTTAACATTCACCTCTCTTCTTTCTTAACTTGCTTTCTCTAGACTGTTGTGGGCCCTCCTGGAGAGAAAGGCGAGAAGGTAAGATGAAAATATTATTTGTTTCATGTGAAGAATGAGTATAATACAGTCTGGTGGGACTAGGAATTGGAATACAGAATGACTGGGTTCCTTGGTAGCTCAGAAAAGATCCTAGCAGCAGCTCCAGCAATTAGACTCTAGAATCTACTCCTGCAAATATTTGATCTTGAAAGGGTTTGTTGTGGCAGTGAGTACTATATGGATGGCATGATCTTTTGGGACACCATTGCCTGTTGATTGGTGTGAACCATTGCTAGATCGTTTACCTCTGACAGTCTTTCTCACCTACAACAAATAGGACTATGGATAGAAGAGAAGGAATAATCTGTCTGATCTTTGCCGTCTCGGAAAGGGATGGAAATCAGCAAAATAAAATGGGAACTTTCTAGAAAGGGAGGAAAGCATAGTGACTGTTACTTTTGGAAGGTGTTGCTGAGATTTGAGAGGAAGGCCTCTGGTGGACTGAACTTCTGTATAATCTGTTTTAGGGTGCACTGGGTGATTTTGATAGAGAACTGCTGGGGAAGCCAGTAAGTTGTTTTTCATTCTTCCTTTCCACTACAAGTTCCAGGACTCCTGCTTCTTGGGTGAGATGTCACTGATGATATTTCTACTCTGCAGGGTTCCAAAGGTGACCGAGGTATACCAGGCCCCCGAGGAGAAAAGGTGAGAAATGGTCCTCCAGGAAAGAAGTGTTTGTTCTGTTTTCATGACAACTGAAGGCTTCATTGAAATTCTGGAAGTCTAGCTTATTTTCAAAATTCATGTAGTCAACTTTTCTTTCTTTGTGCTAGGGGGAACCTGGGGACCAGGGGGAACCTGGAGATCCTGGAGAGGATGTAAGTACTATGAAGTATGGAGTAGAGTATTTAACCCAGCTAGGTACAGCTGTGTGTAATGAAAGCTTAGGTGTTGGAAGAATAAACATGGGTCATTTAGTCCATGTTTCCCACAGTGGACCCTAACCCCCTAGGGATATGTTTTTGTGAATGTAACAGGAGGCAGACTAGCCCAAGGAGAAATACAGCTGTCAGGCATTCTTGAATCACCACCAACCTATCTGAAAATATATGGACAGGATATGGAATAGAAAATAGCAATGGAACCATCTGAGCAAGTTCTGGCTAGATGAACAGAATGCATGCAAAGTATAATAGTCTGAGAAAGGTGTTTACTAAAAAAAAAAATCTAGTCCAGTATTTGACTGTAGACAGGATATCTTAACCCCATTCCTCACAGTTCCAAAGTTCCAAAACAGATGTATGTAACACACCCAGAAGGCTCGTTGTGTCATTCAGTTGCACTTTTAAAAAATGTTAAACCAAAATTTGCCGTTTTGTGATTTAAGCTCAATGGTTTGGATACTAGAAATGAGTTTGTGAGCACCTAGATAGTTTGTGCTGTAGATCGTGCACAGTCTGCTAAAACTTTTGATTATAGAAGGGCCCACTGAAAACCATTGATTTTAGGCAAATGGAAGTTTTACTGGAAGAGGAAGCACACTCCATGGCAAATACTGTCTAACATACTGAGAACTTTTTCATAGGATCCAAGCCATTGTTTTCTATCCTCGTTTTAGGAGACATGGTGTACAATTGATATCCCCCTTTTTTGACATCTCAGTTTTGTCAATAGTCTATGCTCTGATTCCACCTGCTAAATGTGTAATACTTCCTTCATACTCAGTTTTCTTGTTTTTCAATGTTAATAGGGAGCCAAAGGATCACCTGGTATCAAAGGGGAAAAGGTATGCAGTGGGTTTCATGTATTTTGTACAAGCTTCTATTAGAGACAATACAATTGTTTGCTAAACCTTTTTGGTGTGCTGTCCTTGTCCATGTGAACAGGAAGGCACTTAGTTCAATCACCCTGTCCAATACAGTAGTCTTTAAATGCTTTCTGCAGTGCATCATTATAGATGTCTGTTGTGAACTTGGCAACAATCAGAAGGGGACATATAATAAATTAAAAGTCATTTACACTTCTCCCAGTATCCATCCTGATTTCTTCACCAATCAATGAGTGAGCCTACTGAAAGTAGATACTGTTCTTTCCCTGCTCTCCAGTGTTATAGTGTACTAGGTCTGTTAAGAAATAGACCAGAGGTGTCGAACTCATTTGTTATGAGGGCCAGATCTGATACAAATGTCACTGTGTCAGAGGGGCCATCATGTGTGCCATAAAATGTAATGCCAGGTACCGGAGATAGAAACTTTATAAAGGACACAGACAAACCCAATTAACAATATTATTTCTTACTCAAAGTACAAACAGAAGCAATTGATTCCTAGCAATGAAAGCAATTGATTTACTGGGGAACCCACAAAGCCCCCAATGAATGTATTTAATTATATACAAGACTAGTTTTTTTACAAAGGAAAGGGGGAAGTACCTTACACTGCCATACATACCAGTTGCTTGTGGGCTGGGTAAGAGCCATGGATAGGCTGGTTCCAGCTCCTGAGCCTTATGTCTGCCACCCTTGAAATAGACAACTATTTCTCATTTAGATGTCAGCTGTTCAAGACATAATTTTTTCTTCCATCTGTATCATTCCAGGGTTCACCTGGGGTTGGCCTACCAGGACCTCCAGGGCAGATTGGGCCTCCAGGTTTGAAGGTAATTCATTTTCCATGGTTTCTATTAACCTACACCGTGTCTGCAGCGTTGAAATTCTTCTGATCTTTTTTCACTACTTTGCACTGTTTTTCATTATTCAAAGATCTTAAAACCAGGGATGATCTGGGTGCTGGAATCATTCACATTCTGCTTGCCAGTTACAGTCAAGGAGCCAATTTTTCATCCGGCAATTTTTCATCCGGCAATTTGGCTGTTTATGAGAAGCTTGAGCCGGTTTGGTGGATTTCTTTCTACATATTCAAACAGTACAGTATAGTGCAGTTAGCAGCATTTTACGCTTGTGCATTCTCACACCTATTGATGTAGTCCGCTTCCTAACTTGTCATTGCTCTACCCCACTCTGCAGCCATTTGTTTAAATAAAGAATGACCAATCCTGTCACTTTAAACCTGATTTAACATCTGGTGTTTGTATAAGTCTGTGTTTCAATCTTATTCCATACCTACACATTTTCAGTCTTCCTTATGGAAGTTATAGCTCCCTGCCCCCATTGCCTCATTAAGTTCTCTGACCCAGCCATCTATGACCCTGGGAAGAAACAGTTTTGCCTATCTATCTAAAATGGCACATTCACCTACCAAGTGGTTTTACTGGGTGGGGCACACTACTTTCTTGAACCCACCCATCTAGAGGGGATCCTTGCATCTCTCCAGTATTTCTACTTCCACCAGCTGGTTGATTAAAGTATTACCTACCAAGAGGGCCAGTACTTGTAGCGCTCCATCCACGTTCTCTTTTACAGGTGCTCCCTAGCGTCCATGTCTCCTGCTTCTGCTTTTACTAGACTCTATAGGGATGGCTTACTGCACTTGCACTCCTGGGGATCTAACAAACTATTCACCACTCACCTCTCTTCCTTCTTTGGTGCCCTTTAGTAAGAAATTTATTAAAAAGAAATTGTCCCCACACATACTCTGCACAGCAATGGTCTGAACAAGATTATAAATTAAAGGTGCATACACCTATTCTTCTGTCCCTTCTCTCTAAACATACCATGACTGTTGTTATTGTAGGGTAGGCTCCTTATTCTTAAAGTTACAGCTTTCTATCAGTCATCCATTACCTCAAGTCTTTTTCTGGGCTGCCTGTTCTTTGTTAGCTCCACATGATAATGGCGGTCATCAAGATGGAGCCTTAGTGTGACATCTCCTTCCTCCAATTTATCCTCAAATGAAATCACCCAAAATGGACTCCATTCCCCTCATGTCCAGGGACTTTAACTCCTCTCTCCCCCCCCCCCCCCGTGAGTCATTCCTTCTCTTCCTTTCCTTCCCATCTAGCATTCGGCACTCCCCAGTCTCTGTTACCTTCTAGGTGTCACACTCCTGCCAAACAATGAGATGGCCCTTTGACTGATCTCTGCTAGGCAGGAGTATTTGCATAACCAAACATTAAGTACTAGGTGCCCGAGGGAACCCTTGACAGGATGGGAGTGCTTGAAAACAATTAACCACTCTCCTTTCCCTGTCCTTGTACCAACAGAAAAACGTCTTGAAATGAAGGGGGGGGGGTCTGTGTAGCTCCCTTCATAACCATATTGTAAACCCAGGTTATCCTGTCCCTCTGCAGTTTTGGCCAAATGAAGAGGGTCTTTCAAAGCCACTTAATCATTTCATGTAGACCTATTGTCTAGGTGTATTGGAAAGACTCAAAAAGTATAAATGTAATTTAGCTTCTTTGCAGCTTCTTTTATGCATTGAAAGCAGAAGAAGTTCTCAAATATTTGGAGTGGTGAAGAATGGAGCATTACCATTAGAGTTTCTGATTACTGGACCTGACGTCTTCTATTGTGGCTTCTTTTTAAGGGAGACCTTGGTATGCCTGGGCCACTAGGAACTCCAGGTTTACCAGGTACAGCGGGGATGCCAGGCCAACAAGGTCCGAGAGGAGAAAATGGACTGACTGGTGCACCAGGACCTTCAGGAGAGCGTGTAAGGGAAATGTTTATTTATTTACTTATCTGAAAAATGTATAGGATTCCTCTCTTGAGACCTGCTTGAGATGGCTAATACCCAAGTCACACGTATTGCCAGGCTGGCGTTTTTCCATCTGTGTCAGGCTCAGCAACTGGCCCTTTTCCTGTCATGCCCTGACCTAGCCATGGTAACCATGCAATGGTCACCTCCAGGTTAAACTACTGTAACTTGCTCTATGCTGGCCTGCCCTTGAGACTGATCTGGAAGCTCTGGTTGATCTAGAACACAGCAGCACAAGTCCTGATGGGAACATCATGGACAGCACATGTACAATCTGTGCTGCGCCAGCAACACTGGCTTCCAGTGGAGTACCGAGGCAAGTTCAAGGTTTTGGTGTTGACCTTTAAGGTCTTGAGCAGTCAGGGTCCAACATATCTGTGGGACCGTCTCTTCCAGTATGTCCCTGGGAGAGTGCTACACTCCTTGGATAGCAATCTGCTGGTGATCCCTGGCCCGAAAGACATCCAACTGTTCTTGACCAGAGCCAGTTCCTTTTCAGCCCTGGCCCTAACCTGGTGGAAGTCTCTGCCAAACTACATCAGGGCCCTGTGGGACCTTATGCAATTCCACAGAGCCTGTAAGGCAGAGATGTTCCGCCAGGCCTTTGGTTGAGGACAGCAACAGCTTCCATCTTGGCTGGCACCCCCCTCCTATTCCTCCTACTCTCTTCCATCAGATTGTTTTATTCCTCCTCCCCCATACTCTTGTGGTTGCCACAGTCCGAAACTGGGAAGAAATCATAATTTCACCACTTGATCTTTTAAATTGCTGGATTAGCATTATTCATGTACTTATCTTATGGTTTTAATGTTTTTACTATGTGTTGTATATCACCCAGATCCTTGCAGTGGTGGGGATTGGGTGATTCAGTAGTAGTAGTAGTAGTAGTAGTAGTAGTAAAGATAAATGAACAGTAGTATTCAGGAATTACAAGGAATATGGCTACAATCCTAAGAGTAAGAGTAAGCATTATTGAATACATTGTTGTTACTATGATAAATCAGGTATGCTCAACCAAGTCAATGGACCTGATGTTTTTAGCTCAGCTGTGGGGTCTGTGATAGCAACCTGTGGGCTCAAGCTCATTCAAGATTGGGGAGGTGCCGTGTTTTGGAAGAGGCCATGGCTCAGTGGAAGAGCCCTTGCTTTGCATGCAGAAGTTTCCAGCCTCCGTCCTCTGCATCTCCAATTAAAAGGACCAGCAGCAGGTGATGTGAAAGATCTCTGCGTGAGACCCTGGATAGGTACTGCCAGTCTGAGTAGACAGTGCTGACTTTGATAGACCTAATCATCTATTGAGGAAGAGGAGGACATTCTGGACCCATCCAGTGTTTGAAGTGTGGTCTTTTTAGCAGCTATGCTTACGTTCAGGAGATGTTTCTCTTTTTGTCTGCTTAACTTGTGCAATTTTTTTGTTCTCTTTGTGGTGTTTGGTATGGACATCTTCCTGCCAAGTCCAGCAATAATTTTTTTCTGAGTGTTAATGTTATTGTTAATGTTCCTTTGTTTCTTTTTCTGAGTTTATGTGTTTCTGTCATCAAATGTTAGAATGTTGGGCACACACCATGTTGTCATTGAACAGCTATGGAAGCCTCTGAACTAAAGAGGGGTGGATACTCTCTCTTCAGGGACAGAAAGAGCTATGTATTTCCTGCCTCCCATGATCATGGGAGGAGTACCCAAGGGTATAGGGTTGCCAGGTCTGGGTTGGAAAATACCTGGAGACTTTGGGGGTGGATCCAGGAGAGGGCGGGGTTTGGGAAGGGGAGGGGCCTCAGCATGGTACAGTGCCATAGAGTCCACCCTTCAAAGCAGCCATTTTCTCCAGGGAAACTGATCTATGTCAGCTGGGGATCAGTTGTAAAAGCGGGAGATCCCCAGGCCCCACCTGGAGGCTGGCAACCCTACAAGGGTAGCAGGATGTCTTCCTCTTCTTCAAGCCCAGTGTGCCATTGTCTGAATTAACCGGGGTCTCTTTTTTGTGCCAGGGTCTAATTGGCTTTCCTGGGCGAGATGGCACTGCAGGAGCTCCAGGACCACCTGGACCACCAGGCCCAGCAGTAAGTACATGGGCATGTGGGATGCAAGGTGAGGAGGGTTGCTTATATAGCTAGTTAACTGCAGCCTGTCTAAATTCCATCCCACGTGTTACCGTGTTACCTGTTGACATTCCTATGGTGATGCTACATTATTAATCTTATTTTTTTCTATGTCTTGTTTTTCTTTCTTTCATCACTCTTTTACTGTAGGGCTCACAGGGCACCCCTGGCCTGAAAGGTGATAAGGTAGGCCCTGATTTTTTCTTTTATAGTGCTAGCTGTCAGCAGCTCTGAAAGAGGAGTGGCTTATACACCCATGCTTGCCAGGCCTTATGAGGCCTTGAGGACAGAATTTTTCATGCAACTTGGAAGTATTTTAAACTGCTGCAGAACCCTAAATATTTTGTTTCATTCTAAAACAGTGCCTAGCTCCTGGAGTTACAAAGATATGTCTGAAAACATGCAGGAATTTTGTTTTTCTCCATGCCTCACTACATAAAGCAAGGGGGAAAAAGAGGTTTTTAAAAATTCTTTCCCGAACTACTTTGCACTGTTTTCTGAGCAGAATAGGTGGGAGGCTATTTTTTAAATGATAAAGGGATCATAAAAAAGAACATAGCTTTCATACCATGTTATATTAAGATATATTGTGCCCAAACATTTTTTTCTGTACTGTAGGGTGACACGGGACTTGGACTGCCAGGTTCTAGAGGTGAGCGAGGAGATCCAGGGCCACGGGTATGTATCTTGGCCTGAATCGATTGCATAGACATTGAACAGAATCCATAAAGTCATGGGGGAGGGGGGTAGAAACAACAGCATCTTTCTGGTTGGTGGACATCAGGGCCGCAGTCCAGAGGGCAGCAGAGAAGGGCCACAGATGGATCTGAGTCCTGTGCCTTCCTGTGGCAGCCAATCTAGTATCCTATCCCACCTGCTGCCATCATTAGGGGGTGCAGTATACAGGATTAAAGCCTGGGAAAGGACAGGCCAAGCTGCATCTGAGTTTACTGACCTGGCACCCAGCAGATCCCAGCCCCAGCAGAGAGACTGGGGAGGGGAGGTGTCTTGGGCAGCAGATGGACCAGGGGTAGAGAGGAACCCACTGACAGCTGGGGATGAAGCACTGTATATAGCAAATATGTGTGTGGGTGGGTGCGTGTATGTAGGCATGCCAATCCTGTGTGGAGTAATAAAGGATGTACCAGTCACCTGTGTGCAGTATTGCATATCTTGAAGGAGGAGGCTCTAAATTTAGTTTTTGGTTTCTCCACCTGGTTTCTGCTGCAATGAAGAGAGGCTGATGTTCAGTATTTACAGTCAAAGACCTAATCTGCCATTCCATCTTATCTTTTGGTATAAGAAAATGATTACCAGAATGTGTAGAAATCCCATTTTGGTATATCCCAAAGATCTGCATAGCTTAAATATGACATGGTGTCTTCAATGTTCATCCACTTGCTGGCCATTGTAATCAGAATCCTAGCAAAGGACCAAGGTTTTCACAATAGCCTTGAATTAGAGCTGCAGCCACTGCCTCCAACATTCCCTTCATTGGTCTATCTCAGTATTTTCCTTTTTCTCAGGGTGAAGATGGGCGCCCAGGGCTGGAGGGAGATCGGGGACCTCCGGTAAATATCTCTCTTCCTTCTCTGCTCCCTCAAATCTGAGACTAGGCATTTATTGTCATCCTGAAGTGTCTTTTCTGTTTTCTCCATAGGGTCTTCCAGGAAACAGAGGAGAGAGAGGTGACAAAGTAAGCAAATTAACTTGTGTGGGAACAGAAATAGTGGGAAAGGAACAGTTGGCTCATTTTCTTCTTATGTGTTGACCATTGAAATGTCAAATTGTTAGTCATAACATTGATAGTAAGGACCGATGGCGGCAGACAGCTAAACCAGGTGGTTTATTGATATTATTTGCTGAACCTCTGCCTAGCATTGGATGTCCTGTCGTGCAATCTTGACCTATGAATAATTTCCTTTGATTCAGGACCAAACTCTGAAAAGTACATCATTGCACATGTCTTCTTTCCTTGTACAGCCTATCTAGTCTTGACTTTTTAGCCAGCATTCAGGGAACAACAAGGAATTCCCAGGGTTAATCAGGCTCTCAGGTTCCTAGCTGAAGACTGTAATCCTATAAGTTACCTAAGGCAGCTCTATGAAGTGCTGTTAATAATAAATAATAGAAATAAATAACCTCCAAAATGTGTTTGTAGTATAGGTTTCTGAGGTGTTTAGAATGGTCAGGTTAGAATTCAGTGAGGCTTGAGTCCTGGCTAGGCTTATTTCTAACCGTCCTATTTTCCTCTCCTAGGGAGATGTTGGAGCTGTAGGGCCAAAGGGAGACAAGGTGAGTACTCCCATCAGTGGAAGGATCATGATGACTGCTTTGTGATTACAAATAAAGCCATATTGACACCTGAACAGTTCCAAGGAAATTCTTCAAAAACAAAGACAATACTTTCCTACTCCCAGGAAAAAGAAGGCTTGATGCCATCCACTTGAGAAACTTCTGCAAAATGTACAGTCCCCTTCAAATGCTCTGATTATAACAAGTCCTTTATATTGCTCAGCATTTACTGTTCAGACTACAATGTATTTCATAACTCCCAACATTGTCCTAATAATTCTTCAGCTGTGAAGCAAAGGACTGCTCCATTGAGTGCTGGTTTGTACCTTCACTCTTGCCATATTAAAATGAAAAGCTTCCTTTAATGTTTTCTAGACTAAAAGTTTGGTTATACTCAGCAGTAAATTATCTTTGCCAGTGAATATGCCAATGGGATTGCTGGCTGCAGCCAAATAGAACACTTCAGTCATTGATAGGCTGCCATATTCTTTCTCAATTACAGGGTGATACTGCTGTTGTGGAGGGCCCACCAGGTGCTCGGGGGAACAAAGGGGAACCGGTAAATGACATGGCTGCATTTAAAAAAAAACTAAAGAAATGGTTTAGTAAACTCATTTCCAGGTCTTGAGCAAGTGCACCTTTAAGACCTTGTCTGTCTCTTATTAGGAAGACATTTCAGAAGCCTGAGAATGTTTTATGTTCTATGTGACAAAAGGTTTTTGGGGGGAAGGGGGTTGGTAACTCATTCCAATGACAGATTTTAAAGATAAATAAAAATCAGGTGAGAAAAAGAACAATGTGTTTAGAAAAATTCCTTTTGTTTCGGCTGAGGAAGGCTTCCCTGTGAAAGCTGGTTTGGCAGCCCAAAGTGTGATTAGTTGGATGTCTAAAATTAAAATGGTTTAGATAGGAATTTATGGTAGTTGAGGGGAGAAATCTGGAAAAAATGCTCTAGAAGGAAGAAGTCCAAGAATAATGTATGTGGTATAGATACAAAATATCACTGATACAGTTATTAAGTATCCATGCAGAATATCTCTAAATTGGGTATGGTAGTCTTTGGGATAGTAATTATAGATTAGAGTAAGGGGTGCCTTTTTCTTCAGATTCTTCTGTTGATGGGATTAGTGATCCTTTCTTAGTTTGCTTTATAATGTCAAATTTGTTATAGCATTGAAAAATTACTTAAATAACCAATAAAGAATTTTACTGTATCAATCTATGTTTAATAGCTTGGTGGTATGGACATTAATATTAAGTAAAGCAAAGTCCAAATGAACTTGAGGGTATTTAGGATAATTAAAGTAAAAGCCTCAAGTGATGGCAGTTTCCATCAAAAGTCCATTTATCACATTCTGCTCTTCCCTTGGAAGAGCCAGTTTGTTGTAGCGGTTAGGATTGCAGACTCTAATCTGAGAGAACTGGGTTTGATTCCCCACTTCTCCACATGCAGCTGCTGGTGTGACCTTGGGTCAGTCATAAGTTCTTTCAGAGCTGTCCCGATGACAGGCCCACCGCCCGCCCCACCCCGCAGTCCCAACAAGACTGACACCGGGAGGACGGCCCCTGGACCCACCTCTACTCACCTGGGATCCCGGGAGGCATCAAAGGAAGGCCACCGAGGTGGGCGCGGCAACAGCCCTCCCGTTGCCAACCGGGGTCGGCAACAGCAGCAGAGATGCCGGGAGTTCGCCCGAACACGGCTAGACAGCTGCACCGGGCCAGAGGCCCGGCACAGGAGCACACCAGCACATCCGGGCATCGCACCCCATCTGGAGCCGCCCGAGGCAGGAAGGAGTGAGAGAGAGAATGGCCCCTCCCAGGAGCCAGCGTCCTCAATTATGTAGAGGTGCAGGGCTGGAGAAGGGAGGGGGACAGGGAGAGCCGGGGGAAGACGGGAAGGCAGGAGAGAATAAAAGGATGCAGCTGTAAGAGGCCAGGGTTGACGACCTGGATGGAAGAGGACGACACTGCAGAACAGAGAGAGGGACAGTGTCTTACATCCAGAGTGAACATAGTGGCAGGGACGGTGACGGAACCTCCCTCCCCGTTCAGGTGTCTGAGGCCCCTGCTGCTTGGACAGGCGGGCCACCAAGGTGGCAGAGCAACGGGGGCTGGAGGAATCCAGTGGCAGCAAGGGGGAGTCGTCAGGGTCGTGTGACAAGAGCTGTTCTCTCAAGGGCAGTTCTCGAGAGAGCTGTCGCAGCCCCACCTACCTCACAGAGTGTTTGTTGTGGGGAGGGGAAGGGAAAGGAGATTGTAAGTCACTCTGAGATTCCTTTGGGTAGTGAAGGGTGGGGGATAAATCCAGTCTCCTCTTCTTCTTCTTCTCTGCTATGTCTCCTTTCATGCTGAATACATACTTTTTGATCTTTCATCCAAGCCAGTATCATATAACTTGTAATTCTCTGATTTATTACTGACCATTTATTGACAATTAACTCTTCTCTCATAAGGGAGACCGTGGCCTAAAAGGGATGGAAGGAGAGAAAGGTGACAAAGGAGATCAAGGCGTCCCTGGAGAAAAGGTAGCACAGCAGATGCCTGAGTAGCTGTTCACCAGACTTTCAGTGGAGTTGTTGGGGTAGGAGACATGTCTGCACTCCATGCGCAAGGACCCAGTCAAAGTACCAGCTCAAGCCAAGTGGTAGAAGTTAGAATCTTGCCTGTGTGCTACCTTAAACTGATCTGCTCTCTGTAAACACCAGGAATCCAAAATGACAGCAGCAGAATGGGTTGAATAAAATAGAGCTGAATCTGCCTTATTCCAAAGAGGTAGAAAACATAGAAGTATCGGCCACATACTGCCACAGATATAAACTATACTTCAGGAAATGTTGTGGTTCCCAAGTGTTGCTATAAAGTTTGGTCCAGTAAATAAACCAGCAGCTGTCACTCTTGTCTGTGAACAGAAAATAATGCATATATGGCAGAGACAGGGTTGATATCACTGTAGCAGTTTTGTAGGGATAATGGGTCCTGCATATCTGAGATACAGGTGGCATATTGGGAGTAACATGATAGCTAAACTGAGCACAAAATCCTACTCTTTGGTGTTAAGCATTGTCCTGAATTAGGAATGAGTTAATGGAACTCATGAATCTAGTGTCGGCAGAGTTATCATGGGTCGGGCGAGCTTTTGTTTCAGCTTGTAGTAATATTACTTTTTTGGTCACTTCAACAATAGGAGTTAGGCAGAAGTCTTCCTTCCACTATCACTCATGCTTTTCAGTAACTGTTTTTTAAATCTACAGGGAGTGAGAGGTGAGCAAGGTGAAAAGGGGTCATCAGGATTTCCAGGAGCACGAGGGCCTGGTGGGCAAAAGGTATGAGGTTATCAGATCGACCATGGCTATACATTCACCATTTAAGGTGACTGACAGAAACATAGTTAGACTATATATACACCTGTCATTTTATTTATAGTCTTGATCCTACAGAGATCCTGGTGCTTGTTCAATTTGATTCACACTGTTTGGGATTTAAGTCAGTATAGTTTCAACTCAGATCCATGACTTCTTTCAGGTTCAGTACAGATACTTTAAAACTCATACAGATGTTATCATTTTGGAATTGGCCATGTACCTTAAGAAATTCAGGACAGACGGTGGAGTGGAGTGGAGTGGGAAATCCCATCCCTGATTTCCCTTGCCACTCCTTGGAGGCTTGAAAGGTCTTTACCAAGACTGGTGGCTATTTCACCATTCAATCTCTTTTGCTGCTAGGAAGGTGCAGTCTAATTTTATAGGTGAAATGTTGTAATGTCCATTTGGTTGTTGTTGTATATGTATATGTAAAGTCTAGGCTATGTTCCCATTTCATATCTCATCTTCTTATTGTGTGTTTGTCTTTACTCAGGGAGAAGTTGGTGAGTCTGGAGAGCCAGGCGAGCCGGTAAGAATTTTCCATCTGTTGCTGTGTCTACCTCCATTTTTGCAGGTTGAACCCTGATAATCACACTACCTTGTTGTCTTCCAGGGGCTCCCCGGAAAGGATGGTATCTCAGGATCCAAAGGAGATAAAGGAGACGTGGGGCCTATTGGAATGCGAGGTCCAAAGGTGACACCGCATATGTTGCTTCCTTTTGTTTTTAACTCTGTGATCTTGAGAGCCATTCCATCCCATCCCAAAGCAGAGGAAGATGAGCCCACTGACAAAGGCCTTTTAGATACTTGGGAGTCGTCAAAGGGGGAATACGGGATTTGTACTTTTAGGAAAGGTTTTTTGGCTTCATAAAGCCTCCTTTAAGGTTATGTATATTCCCAAGAAAACATCTAGCGATTTAGACATGTTGGATAGAATTTCTTGCACTTAGCATCAAAGTTGCCATGTAAAACCTGTCTCTGAAAAAAGTGTGAAGATCCCACCCTGGATCATGCAGAAAGTATGTCTCATGTGATGTTCTGACACAGTTGGTAAAACCTTGAATTGGATGTGGGAGATCTAAGATCTTCTTCGTGATTTCATTGGGCATGGTTGGAATATCTATTCTCTGCCTTCCCCCTGTTCCTTTTGTTCTTCAGGTGGTCATGTGTGCATTCATATGACCTACCCATTGGTACAATTCCTTCACTTTAGGGACACACAGTCCAGTCTGCAACTCTGAGAGGAGTAGGGTTTCATGGCTAAACACTAAACCTAGAAGCTTTAAAAAATTTTGAATTAACACTCTGCACAGGTACAGAGCCAAATCAGTGTGAATTTACTGACAAAAGAACAAGTTACATGAAAATGAAGACTGATTTGTGATGATGTTTTCTTATTGTAGGGGGATCGAGGAATGAAAGGAGCCTGTGGCCAGGATGGAGATAAGGGGGAGAAGGTAAGTGCCAGGGTTTCTCTTTCATTCCTTTTCCATTACAAGATGTGGCAGTAAACCCTTCCTTTGTAATTCTTTCATGAAAAAAGGTAAAGTGTGTCATTGGAACTTCAAAGGAGATGATGTTTCTACTGGAAAAAATGGGTCTTATGTCTGTTTTCCAGTTAGGAATCTACTGCTTAGTAGAGGCTGAGCAGAAATGTGGGACAGTTCGTAGCTCAGAGATGGTCACACAAAAGGGCCATTTGTATGAACTAGCACCTGCAGTTAGTGCAGTTGCTACAATTTGTGTCTTCATAGCATCACAACTAAGTAGGGCTGAACCAAAGGGGGAGGGGTACATTTCCTTTAACCAGACTGATGATATTAAAAAACATTTATAAAGTTTATTGAAAAAATAGACAAGTTAATATGAATATAGCCAACAGATTACCAAAGGTCACATAGGACACAAAACAATAAATCTAGCTTTAACTACCCAACACTGTTAAAGATTCTTGTTAGGCAGCACAAACCTTACATTCAAGTGAAGGCCACAAACCTTACACTTAGTGAAGGCCTCTGAGCAGCGTAGTCTATGATTTCAGCAAATTGCCAAGCATAGAGCCAGACCTACAGTTCAGAAAATCTCAGCTAGGTGGTCAAGCCCTTGGAGGGTTATTATAATTATACTTCTAACTCCTCAAGTCTGGTGACGATGGTATCCAATCCTATCAGGTCTTCAGGAGAATTCTCCAGAATCTTACATCACTCCTCCTGGTCTTTCCCCTCCCAACACTAAGAACATGCTTTCATGAAAAGTCATCAGCTCTGGCCTTGGAACTGATAAGGTGCCAGGCAGGCCAAGCACTTAATTAACAATACCTCCTGCAAGGAAGAACCAGACCTGTTATTATATACATTAACCCTTGAGGGGAGGCAAGAATGGTGCTTTTGTTTCACACCATCACGTGTATTTTGGATGTTTATTATAAGTAGTTTGAAATCAGGAAGGTGCTTGATAAATCTGAGTTATTTCATGGTCTCTGAGTGTAACACTGATGGGCTTTGTTCCTGCACAGAGCTTTGATTTGGAAACTTCTAGGTGCAAAAATCCTCTTCTCTCAGAGGCACAGCTCTGATTCTGCATGCCCAAGCAGAGAAGTCACATCTACTCACTGAGGTCCTTTTTATCTACTTCTGTAGTACCAGCATTTTAGAGCACTCTCTTCACAGATACCAGCTCTGCAATCTGGTTTTCTCTCTGTGTGTGTGTGTGTGTTATCCCATTAATCATTTTCTACTCTTTCCTTTGCCTCCAATTTTCCAACTTTCCAACTTTCTCTTGTTTCCTCTGTGGTGCCTGGGCCTCTACAGAGCAAAGAATGACCCTTTCAAAGTGTTGACAATGTGGAAAGCTACCTTCAGCTAATAGTCACAGTGTCTCTTGTGCCTTGGAGTACAGTCAAGACTTGCATCCTCTAAAGGCCACAAGGCAGGCAAGGCATATTCAGTCCACTGAGCTTTGAGCTGCCCCTGGAGCTCCATCACTCTAGCTCCTGACTCCAGAACCATTGATACCAACCACTTCAGTACCATCAGCAACAAATTCGGCCAGCTCAATCAACCTCAGTACTGAAGAAGAAGAAGAATACATCAACCTACATTTTATTAACAGAGGTCTGTCTGTCCACCTTTAGATGTTGTCCTATGTTTTGGAATACCTCAGTATAAAGCCAACAAAGCCATTCCTAAAGATCATCAAAGAAATCATTCTGATCCCAAGAATTCCATTGGCAGACAAAGCTCTGTCCCTTAATATGTATCTCAGGGGTTCTTCTCTGAGGGACAGGTGGGAAACCGTCCAACTAAGATGCAGCTACTTGATCCACTTCCTTCTAAATCTCTGCTGGATAGATCTCTATTCCATTCACAATACCAGAACTCTTTCAGATGTTCTGTGAACGTCTGGAGCCAACATCACCAACCCTGGTATCATTAGTATGACTGAGATACATGGGATTGCTTTACACTATTCTCCCTGACTACTGTGCCTAGTATTGGGATACTAACTTGATACTGCAGAGGCTGAGACCAGCACTCCATAGCTTTGCATAGGGATAGATCAGCCCTTACTTCAGGGACTGTTCAGCACCAACAGGCATTTTGGACTTGGGTTTGAGACACAGTCACCATCACTGAATTCCGTCAGCTATGATACTCACCACTGGAGACACATGCCTCATCAGGGTGAACTGTACATCTCAGTACCAATGATGGCATGCTCTGATCCACCTCATTTTCCTTTTGCATCACTTGTTACTCTGTCAGTATTGACAGCTATGGAACCAGGCTGCAGGTACCCAAGGAGGTACCTGTGTTTCAGCTGATGGGCTCAGCCTGACCCTCCCCAGGAGATTTCTGAATTGCTTCTACCTTTTCATATTCAAAAGAAGAGCAAGATGAGTCTTTGCAAGGTTTTGTATTTGTTTGTTGTTGATGGAAGCGGGGGAGTAGATCTCAGACCTTCACCCATTCTTTTGCTTGGGGTCCCCTGTTCCCCAGGAGCATCATTGGAAGGACATTTAGTGCTGCAGCAGGAGGGGGGAGGCAAGGAAGTCATACTTCATGAACAAAAATCCTCCCCCCAAAAATAAATTATTGGTAGATCCAAGCATTTGAAATCCTATTGTGCACCATCGGTGTCTGATACAAAGAAGCTTTTCCCCAAAGAAGATGTCAGGATGTATGTGGAGCACCTAAAATGTCTGGAGCGACAACATTGGGGCTCAAGGTAAAACAGCAGTCTCTTGGGTTCCAGTACCCCCATGCTAATACCCCAGGCCTTGTGCCAACATGTACACATCAGTGGCATTTCCTATGCTCCACATGCCTCTCCAGGTGGCTAAAGTCTTATTGGAGAACCCATCCTTTGTGCCTCTTATGTTTAAGAGTCTGGAAAGCCTCAGTAAATTCCACCAACATGGTTGTCCCTTTACCCTACTCTCCTTAACATTTCATTGTGATGAAAGGAGAGGAAATTGGACAGCATGAGCAAGCAATTCTCATCAGGGTTGTGCTGTCCCTAAAGGTGGCCAACTATCTCACCTGCATGCTGACGTACCAGTATTTCCTCTAAGAATAAATGTCTCCAGGTCTTCAGCAAACCACACCTGGGCTATAACCATCATCAGACTGGGTTATGGAACTGAGTTTGATTCACTTCTCTAATCCAAAGTATTCAGATATATTATCCATATCTTCCTCTTCAGGATGGCTTTCTCCTGCTGAATGTGGTAATGGAAGCAGTACCACTCTCCCAAAGGGGCTTAGGGTTTACCTGAGGGTATTTCACCATTTTGAAAAAGGATAGAGTTCTTCATCCCATTCTCAGTCTCGGGGGTGGGGGGGGAATCAGTCAGGTAGCTCTTCATGCCCAGAAAGTTTAGAATAGCAACTCTGAGATCTGTCCTTCCCCACCTAACACCAGCAGCTTTGTTTCCTTCTGTAAGTTGTGATGCCATCTACTTCCACATCTCCATTCTACCACATCTCCTTTGCTCTGGGAGATGTGCATGGAGTCTCCAACACCCCAAGGGTCTTCACCAAATATATAACAATAGTTGTGACCCATCTTTGGCATCACTGGATAACAGTCTTCCCCTACATAGACAACTGGCTCCTCCCTGTTCCCTCTCATCTTTTCCTCTTCCACCACATGCATATGACTCTTTAACTCCTAGCTTCTATGGGCCTTCATGTCAATGGGAAGAAGTCCTATCCTTACCTGTTCAGATTTCACAGTTTATAGGGGCAACCCTGGCCTCTCTCTCTCTGTGTGAGGGCTTTCCTCTGTTCACATTGGACTTGCTTATCACCAATCTCAAGCCTTATGGCAGCATCCATTGTGATAGTGTGATTTGCCAGACTGAAACATCTCTAGTACAGGTTCTGTTACAACTTCTGATCAATGTGAGACTTGAAGGAAAAATGATTATCCCAACAGTGGTCACCTGGTGGAGTCACCCTCATCACCTACACTTGGGAATCCCTTTCACATTTCCATCACCATAAGTCACATTTCAAAACTGATGCCTCTTAGTGGAAATGGGGAACACATTGTGGAACCATACATCAGCCAGTTAGATGTATTCCCTCCAGAGCCTCTTATTCTTAGAGGCATCAGGAATCTAGAAGCAGTGTTCTCTTCTCCCAGTTGGCACCCGTAATCTACCACTAGTCAGGTTTGTTTGCTAGTCTTTAGCCATCAACGTGATGCTCAGAGACAACAAAGAAGTAACAAAACAGGTTGCTTGCCTTAACTGTTGTTCTTCCAGTGGAGATCTGTGCATTCATATTACCCACCTTTTCTGCAACAAGCACTTTTAACTTATTCTGGTAAATCTTTGGGGAAATGGGAAGATGCAACTCTTCCACCTTTGACATGCATAGTCAAGACTGTGCCTCTTGAGTGGCGAGGATTTTTGCACCTAAAAGGTATCTCCAAAAGTTTCCAAACTGAAGCTCTGCACAAGAGCAAAACCCATCAATATGAATTCACAGATGACCACTCAAAGAACAACAGTCATAGGTAAGCAATCGGGTTCTTTGTCAAACATCTGAGAGGAAAGCAGTCCCTCCGCTCAGTAGTTTAAGAGCCAAGTACAAAGGGTCTATCAAGTCAATGTCACAGTTGTTGTGGGGTTTTTTTGCCTTTTATCTCTCTAATACATATGTCATTGCTTCTGTTTTAGGGAGAACCGAGCCTGCCAGGTCGAATGGGACTTCCTGGGAGGAAGGGTGAGCCCGTAAGTGTTCACAGCACATGCTGATGAGGCTGTAAAATTGGAAATGTGTTTGGACTGGAACAGCCTACCTTCTGCTTTGTTTTTCTAGGGCGAAATGGGCATGTCTGGAACCCCAGGAATCCCTGGGAAAGAAGGCCTCATAGGACCCAAGGTATGGCATTAAGAATCACTAAAATGTGACCAAGAGTTAGGTCACTAATGCTACACAAAAGATAACAGCTTGGTGATGACTGTGTCTTTGTCTTATTTGACAAGAATAAGTAGTTGGCACAATGCTGTGCAATATGACATTCAAGTCACAATATGGAAATGTGTATAGAATATGTGGTTTGCATATCTCTTATTCGAGACTCTGGATCTAACAGACAAGTCTTACAGCAGGGTTTTCAGATTCAGGTGGGTAGCTGTGTTGGTCTGAAGCAGCTGAACAGAGTTTGAGCATTCCACAATTAAGGCTACATCTGCTCGTCAATCTCCAGTTTTGACATATTTATTTTCTTCACTATGTTTTCCCCTGGAATTAAACCCGAACAGACGGTAACCATATAAACTAAGCTTGGCCCTTGAATCTGTTAAAATCTTCATTATGCTGTATGCTAATTTACTGCTCACCCTCTACCTATATGTATGGACTGGTAATTTCCATTTTATTGTATCTGAAGAAGTGCACGCGCACACAAAAGCTTATACCTTGAATAAAACCCTCTTGGTCTTAAAAGAGCCGCTGGACTCAAACTTTGTTCAGCAGGGTTCTCAGTTCAGCAGTGTTCGTGCTTTTTTCTTACTGACCTGTGACCGTGGTAGTAGATGGCTCTATTTTTCTTCATTGTCCTCAATGATAGTCACCAGACCACAGGAGAATGTTGTGTTTAATTTATCTATATTGAAACTACCTAGCAGTGTTTCTGTCTTTATGAGATGTTATTGGTAGATTTCACAGAGGTTTAAATTAACCATAAAAAGCATTCTACATGCTTTACTGTGTTGTTTTCTTTCCTAGGGCGACAGGGGATTTGATGGACAGCAAGGCTCCAAAGGAGACCAGGGAGAGAAAGGGGACAGAGTGAGTTATTCTTGTGGTCTGCTAATTTCAGCCGGGTCAAGGCCAGGATCAAACTGCTGGGGAGTTCAGTAGCTTTCCCTTGAGACTCTTCTTTCCTTTGGTACATAATGTGATACTGTCCCACATGCGATTTATCTGTTGGTGAAAGTGAATATCCTGGTGGGTTACTCATTCTGCTCGCTACACAGGTAGGGCTATGCAAATTAAACATGGTTCTCATCCCTTCTGGTAGTATGAGGTCTGACCCGGTTCCTGTCTCCCCTGCTCTGCTTCTATTTTTAATGAAATAATAATCTTTTTAATAATAATACCACTGAAAGCCAGCATGGTATAGTTAAATGTTGGACTGGGATCTAGAAGACCCAGGTTCAAACTCACAGTCTGCTTTGAAGTTTGCTGGGTGACCCTGGGGCAGTAGCTTTTTCTCAATGTAACCTACCTCACAGGGTGGATGTTATGACAATAAAATGGAATAGGGGTGAACTAGGTGGTAAGGTACTTTAGATTTCTCATTTTGGAGAAAAGCAAGAGAAATAAATTTTGCATCAGAAAAAGGACAGGAAATGCATATGTTGAGCAGTTTTTAGACCAGTGTCTTATAGATGCGTATTAATCCAAAGCTAGGTATTCCAGTGTCCTAAATCACCCAAACATGGATTTGTCCAGTCTTTTAGAGGCTTGGTAATCATCTTAGGTCCAGGAAAAGACTTCCTATACTGACATGAAGACTAGTTTGCAGTGTCAAGGTCAGAAATGTGACATAGTAATGCCTACACTTCACTGACATGGAAACAAGTTTAATTTCCTGCTAAAAGTCCATACATAGGTAGATTTACAGATCAGTGAAATGGGCACTTAACACATCAACCCCTGGAAAGCATTGGGGGGGGGGAACCATAGAAACTGGTGTCGCATGATGCTGTGATGTCACTTGAGTACCCAGAAGTGATGTCACAGCATCAGGGATGCTATAGGAATTTCCCCAAATCGCTATGATTTTTTGCTATATTAAATTGGAAAATTCCTAGAGTATTCTTCCCCCCTCATTTTTGCTTCTGCTGCTCCATTACACTACAGTGGGAGTCCTGAAAACAGGGGCAGGAGCACCCCGAGGCCCTATATACTCTTCAGGCTCCTTCATATGCTATCTCTTTCACTGTTGTGCTGACATAATCCTGATTCTCACATATGGTCTTGTACTCTTTCTCCATCCCAGAGCATATTGCATATCCAGAAGTTACTCTGTACCCATTTTTGCCCTTCAGTATAAGGTCCTGCCAATCACACAGTTAATTATATAAAAGTACGTTTGTTTAATGGGGAAGGCCATAACAAAATTATTTTTATTTGTTTGTTTATTATATTAGGCTTTTATACTGCCCTTCCCACATGTACAATAAAAATCCAGAAATTACATCATCCTTAAAGGTAATCAAACACTATAATAATTAAAAACTAGCTGTGCCTCATACCCAAACTATTCCTTTGTAATTTTCTATATAAACATACATAGCAGTAGGAAAAATGTGCTAGCTATATGGCAGAATATCCCCACTCTGACCTGTAGGGTCTATTCCATCCAGCCGTCTGAGGTGCCTGGGCACCAGTGGCTGTCTAGGGTCTCTGCTTCGTACGTGCCACCCACCTGGTTTCCCCAACACCCAGAGGGGCTATTCTCTACCTCTTTTGGCTCAACCACTGCCACCACCAGGCCTTTGTAGGCATTGCCCACTGACCAGGACTTCCAGCTTCCCTTCGCTGTGTTGCTATTCTAAGGTCTCATTTCATGCCTGTTTCCCACTAGTACCCAGTGTCTGGTTACTATGGAGACAGCTTACTGCATTCTGTGCTACTGGGGGAGTAGCCACTTGTCAAATGGCTGCCTCTCCCCTTCTTCCTGGAGCTTTATTTAAAATAGTGTGCCCAGAATGATGGAGGTCCAATGTGGTTCAGAGAACCACTGCCAGCATTAAAAGTTATAGAGCATTTATTAAAAAGAAAATATCCACATGCATACTCTCAGTACAGCAACAGACTGAGCAAGGGAGCCAAAAGAAAAGTGTAAACCACCGATCTTCTTCGTGGTCTCTGTGCATCACACCCTTGGAATATACTGCGCCTGCGCTGACCTTCTCGGTACCGGTAGCTAGCAAAAGGGATTTTCGCGCCTCTCCCAGGTCACGCGCCGGCTCCACTGCGCATGACCAAGGAGGGGCACGCAGATCCCGCCAGTTCTTTTCTGACCGCCGCGCTGGTAGGACGCCTTCTGCTTCGGTCTGTTAAGTACCTAACTTTCTGCTAAACTCGCGTTTAGTTAGTTTCCTTTTCTTTATTTTGTTTTTTGTAGTTAGCATTTTTCTTCGGTGTGTTTGTTCCTTGTCTTTAACGTTTCCCCCTCCGCTGGCCTATGGCCCCGCGGTGGGGTTGTTTCAAACGGTGTAAGACTTGTGGCCTTAAAATATCTCCCACCGACGGGCATTCGCTTTGCCTCGTCTGTTTAGGGGAGTCGCACTGTGTTTCTAAGTGCGGACATTGCCAGAAATTCTCGAACCAGACGAGAAAAAACAGGGCAGCTCGTCTGCACTTGGCTTTGATGGAGAAGGCGCTATCTCCACAGTCGTCTTCGCCGTTGGACACGTCCGGGCACGCCTCGATGTCCACCCTGGCTGCGGACACTTGTCCTCCCGTTTCGGGACCATCGACGTCGACGGTCGCAATCGATGCTTCGGCACCGAAACGATCGACGCCGATAAAAGACCACCCCGTACCTTCCAAGATCCGGAAGCAGGGGATATCTGATGCCGTACCTTCCAAGATCCGGAAGCAGGGCAAAGACTCACAGCAGTCGAAGAAACCTAAAACGGACAAGTCGAAAGTCCATAAGGTTTCAGCTAGTCAAGGTCGAGATCTCACGCAAGAACCTCATCACCTGATTGGTTCAGATCTCGACATCGACCTTACTCAGCAGACAAATCAGTCGCAATCTGATATGTCGAGTCGTCAATCCTCTCATGCTTCCCCGGAACGTGGAGTCGATGATCGACACCGACCGGCATCCCCTACTTTAACCTGGGATGAGAGACAGTGGCATTACTTGTATGGAAGCCGATACCCATACCCATGGGCTTTTCCTCCACCACCTCCACCTGACTGGGATCGTCAATCGGTGTCATCCCGCATCTCGCAGTTTCGGGATCGATCCTCGGTATCGAAGCAGTCCATGCCGATACATCCACCAGACCCGGCTGCACCCCCGGTCAACATGCCGACAACGCATCAACCGGAATTACCCGGATCATCCCCGGAACCATCCAATGTATCCTCCGATTCAGACGACTCCTCTGAACATATAGAGGACGTGAACATACAATCCACCCCACAGGATGTGGAAGCGGATCTGCCTATTTCTCCATCAGAGGATGTTAAGTCATATGGAGACTTTGTTCAACGTATGGCGTTGGACCTGTCTATGACTCCTACTCTCGTTGCCAGTTTCGTGGATGACAATGTTTTTGACATTATGCATTCCAACACTTCGCCTTCTGTGGCTCTTCCAATGACAAAAGTCCTCTTACAAACTACTAAGGACTTTTGGACCCATCCAGCCTCCATTACTGTATCCAATAAACGTCTGGATCACATGTACAAGATCCAAGAATCTGGGGCTGAGTTTCTATACACGCATCCTAAACCCAATTCTTTGGTCGTATCGTCGTCCACGAAAGGAAAATCGAGTCACTCAACGCCATCAGATAAGGAAGGAAAGAAGTTGGACTCGGTGGGCAGAAAATTTTACACTGTCGGTGCAATGGGCATTAAAACGGCAAATTATGCAGCCTGCATGGGCCGCTATCAGTTCAATTTGTGGAAACGCTTAAACGACTTCCTTCCACATGTACCAAAGGAATGTCAGCCTCAGATTAAGAGGCTTCAAAATGAAGGGATGGTACTGGCTAGACATCAAATTAGTGCTGCCAAGCATTCCTTGGAATCTGCTAGCAAGACTCTAGCAACTTCCGTAGCCCTACGCAGACATGCCTGGCTCCGTTCCTCCTCATTGCCATATGATACCAGATCGTCGGTGGAGGACCTTCCTTTTGAAGGCTCTGGACTGTTTAGTTCCACCACTGATACGGTATTACAGGAAATGGATAAGAGTATCAAGACGTCTAAAAGTCTGGGAATCTCTCCCCCAACTAAATACCCTAAGACCAAGCAATGGCCTAGACAATCTTGGTCTTCTAGACAACCGTACAACAAATCGCCTACGGATCAATGGCAAAGACCTCCCTCTTCTCAGTCAAGGTCTTTTCCCCCTAAGAATAAAGGACAATCATCGGGTGCCTATAAGTCGAAGTTTCCCAAGAATCCCAAACAGGGGCTTTGACTTCAGCCTTACTGCTCATACTCGCCTCGCTCCCTTTCTTCACGCATGGCTGGACATTTCTACAGACAAATGGGTTCACTCTATAATAAGAGATGGCTATCTCATAGAGTTTTCTCAAATCCCCACAATTTCCCATTTCGTCGGAACTCCAACGTCACCTGTCCTGATGCAAGAAGTACGATCTCTGTCACTGAAAAACGCTATAGAGATAGTCCCGGCGGCAGATCGTTGCCACGGGATTTATTCCAGATATTTCACGGTCCCCAAGAAGGACGGAGGACTTCGTCCAATTATGGATCTAAGATTTCTCAATCGATTCATTGTTTACAAAAAGTTTCGTATGACCACTTTGCAAAGTATTTTACCACTCCTGCCTCCAGGGACATGGATGGTCACTTTAGATCTCAAAGACGCTTATTTTCACGTCTCCATCCATCCTCGTCACAGAAAATTCCTCAGATTCACGGTCGGAGAGGACCATTATCAATTCAAAGCCCTCCCCTTCGGGCTCTCTACCGCCCCCAGGGTTTTCACGAAGGTAATGGTGGTTGTCGTCGCCCACCTTCGTCTTCAGGGCATTCAGATTTTTCCGTACATAGACGACTGGTTAATGGTGGCAGATTCAAAGGACTGTCTCCTTCAGCACATCACCATTACACTGTCGACCCTATCCTCCCTTGGAATTCTAGTCAATTTGCAGAAATCCATGCTGCAACCTGCAACTCGCGTGCAGTTCATAGGAGCTGTCATAGATTCCCTGGCCACTCGGGCCTACCTTCCTCGCCAACGGGCAGATACCATTCGTCTGGAAATTCGACGTTTGTTCCGATCCAATGTGACATCAGCAGTCCACGTTCAGCGGATCCTGGGTCTCATGGCAGCCACCACCTCTGTGATCGAGTGTGCACGCCTTCGCATGCGTCCGTTGCAGCTTTGGTTTCTAAAGAAATTTCGCCCCTCCTTTCACCCCCCAAGTCTTCGACTAGTCGTGCCTCCTCAGGTCCTTACCTCCCTGCAGTGGTGGCTCGTGGACACCAATTTGCTGGCGGGTGCACCGTTCCAACCGATTGTTCCCGTGATGTCGATCACCACAGACGCCTCCCTGTGGGGTTGGGGTGCTCATACGGACGACACTTGTGTGGGTGCTCCATGGCAGCCCCTTTGGAAACGTCATCACATCAACTATCTGGAACTGCTGGCCGTAAAATTTGCCCTCAGATCCTTGCACAAACAGGTTGCAGGGAAAGCTGTGTTAATATTTACGGACAATACAACTGCAATGGCTTATATCAATCGCCAGGGCGGGACAGTGTCCAGATCCCTTTGCAGGCTAGCTATGGACATATGGGAAGAGTGCCTTCATCGGAATATCACTCTCCAAGCTGCCCATCTGCCAGGAACTTTGAACCAGCAAGCAGATTTCCTGAGCAGAGGAGGAGCATCGGACCACGATTGGGAGCTGAATTCAAAGTATCTCCTCCCTCTTTTTCAACGTCTGGGACATCCCCACATCGATGTTTTTGCAACTCGATTCAACAAGAAGTGTCCCATGTTTTGTTCCAGAGCGGGGTTGGACCCTCTGTCACTGGGGGACGGCCTGTTGATATCGTGGGCTCACAACTTTCTGTACCTATTTCCTCCGATTCCGCTGCTTCACAGGGTGTTGGTGAAAATACAACACGACAAGCCCCATTGTCTTCTAGTAGCCCCCTGGTGGCCTCGGCAAGTTTGGTTCCCGACACTGTTGAGGTTAGCCAAGGGATCCTTTGTACACCTGCCGCAGGAGTTGGATCTCCTCCAGGCTCAGGAGGGCCAGGTCCTTCACTACGATCCTCTGAGTCTCAAGCTGACTCTGTGGGAAATACGCTTTCAGTGATGGACGCTCGTATCAATGATGTCTTGTTGAACTGTCGTAAACTGTCTACTCGGACTTCCTACACAAGGAAGTGGAATCTATTCCTGCAGTATTTGAATTCCTCAAATCTACCTCCTCCGCCAGTGGATTTGAGGTCTATTTTTGCATTTATTTTGTCCAGAATGGACTTGGGTCTCAGTTTTTCGTCGGTTAAAGTGTATTTAGCTGCGGTGTCAGCTTTTCATCCATCTGTTGATGGGTTTTCAGTTTTCTCGCATCCTCAGACAAAACAGTTTTGTAAAGGCCTTATTCGCCTGTACCCTCCCCGTCGTCCTCCAACCCCGGCCTGGGATTTGGCTTTAGTTTTGCGTTTTTTGATGGGAAAACCTTTCGAGCCATTGGCCACTTGCTCTCTAAAATTGCTGTCACTCAAGACTGCGTTTTTGGTGGCCATTACCTCTGCTCGTCGGGTCAGCGAATTGTCTGCTCTGAGGTGTGATCCACCATACTTAAGTTTTTCCCCACATGGGGTTTCATTGTCTTTGGACATCTCCTTTTTACCGAAAGTTGTTTCGGAATTTCATTTACGTTCAGATGTAGTTCTGCCATCATTTTTCCCGTCTCCTGCTAATGAAGAGGAACGGAAATTGCATTCTCTGGATGTTAAGAGAGCGTTGTTGTTCTATTTGGGCAGGACTAAGTCTTTTCGCCAGTCTCCAGCTTTGTTTGTTGCTCACAGTATGCCCTCCCAAGGGAAGAAGATCTCTTCCCAGAGGCTGTCGAGATGGATTGTGGAGGTGATCAAGCTATGCTACGCTTTGGCTAAGAAACCTCTTCCAGGTCAGCTTCGCGCCCATTCTACGAGGGCGGTAGCAACTTCCACAGCTTTCCTGCGAGGTATGCCGTTGGAGGACATCTGCAACGCTGCGACTTGGGCTACTCCGCTCACCTTCGTGAAGCATTATGCCCTTGATGTCCGGTCTTCTCGTCGTGTGGCGTTGGGTCGGTCTATATTGCAGACGGCGCAGATGTAGGGCCTCGGCCCCTCCTCCAGGTAAGAGTTATTGCTTGCTATTCTCCCAAGGGTGTGATGCACAGAGACCACGAAGAAGATAGACAGGTTGCTTACCTGTAACTGGTGATCTTCGAGTGGTCATCTGTGCATTCACACCACCCGCCCTCCTTCCCCTCTGCTCTCGGCCCTTCATCTTGTTTCTTTGAAGGCTGTTGGGCGGCGGTCAGAAGGAACTGGCGGGATCTGCGTGCCCCTCCTTGGTCATGCGCAGTGGAGCCGGCGCGTGACCTGGGAGAGGCGCGAAAATCCCTTTTGCTAGCTACCGGTACCGAGAAGGTCAGCGCAGGCGCAGTATATTCCAAGGGTGTGAATGCACAGATGACCACTCGAAGATCACCAGTTACAGGTAAGCAACCTGTCTTTCCTCTGTCTCTTCCTCTGTACACATGCCCTAGCAGGTGTCAGCCTAAGGCAGTCTCTTTAGCTGTGGTTTTAAAGGGTTCCTATTACCTTGAAGACCTGCAGGCAATGATCACCTCCAGCAGACCCCAGCTGGGAACTCTGTCTGTTAAAATGGAATCAGTGCAATAGGGACATTCCTCCTCGTGCCCAGGAATTCTGTCATCTCCCTTTCTCCTCCCACTCACCAGGTCAGGCCAGAACAAAGAAGGAAAAGACTTCTCTAGGGTTTTCAGCTTTCAAAGCTCTGTTCCCTTCTAGATGTCACCTCTATAGCCAGAGGGGTGTGTATGCATTGGTCTTGACCATGTCATTTTGTCCCCCCAAGAGGCCAGCCATTTACATTTCTAAAGTTGTGGTGGGTGAGGTTGGTGAGCACTTGACTCTCCCCCCATTTGAACTCTACCAAGAGAGGAAAACTTTTTTAAAACTCAAGATGAAGGTTTTGCTCAGTACAAACCATTAAAAAAATTGCTTTTCTAGACAAGCTTAATTGAAATATTTCACCCATCCAAGACATGTGAAGGGTTTAGCTGGCCATTTACATGTCTGAAGAAACAACTCATTGAGTATGATCAGAAGAAAACCTAAGAAGATAGCTGCTTCTTATTTCATCCACGAATATACAGTATCTGCTCTACAGGTCTAACTCATAATCTTTTTCTAGGAGCAGTTTTGTCTCCCTGGATTCAAACTGTGAAGATGTGAAAGTTTTCCTAACGTTGCCATCCCAGAACTCTGTCAAACTAGCTTCCAATCTCATTGTTTTCTTGACACTAGCAAGAAAATATGGAAATTTTGTTTCTGCCATGCAGGCTTGCATAATATTGTCATATAACCTCTGCCTACATAAATGTAGCAATATTAGTACTGAAGGATAAAAGATAAAAAAGGATTAAAAAATGAAAGCCAAAGAATAAAACTAAAGAATACTCTTTGTGTAGGCATTAGAAAACAGCAGTGGGTTTCAAAACTGTTTCTGGAGAAACGTTTAAACCAATTATATTTATTTATTTATTTATTTGATTAGATTTAGTATATACCACCCTGCCCCAAACGGGTAATATAATCAGTGATGTAGTGGTTACAGTGTTCAACTAGGATCTGGGAGACCCTAGTTCAAATTCCCATTCTGTTGAAGCTATCTGGGTGAGGTTGAGCCAGTCACAAATACTCAGCCTAACTTACCTCACAGGATGTTGTCTAACGTGTTTGAAATTTGCTGCTCTAAGAAGTATATTCTGCAAATCAGCTTGTAATTTCCTGCCTTAGGTTTTCCCTCTTTTTTAATGAAAGGGAATAAATGGGAGGTAGTCCAGTATTACGAATGGCTGCAAAGAATTGCAATTAAACTGGGAACCACCAATCAACAAACAATTTCAAGACTTCTGAAAGAAGAAAATCCTGTTGTTGAATAGGATCTCTTACAGGCCAGGCCAGTACAGCAGAATATTGACTCAGAACAGGAGCAAGGCAGTCAGTTTGAATGCTGTTCACAGGCAATATGATTGTGTCAGGATCATTCCTAATGCTTATTTCTCATTCTGTAGGGTGTACCAGGCGTTATTGGCTCCCCAGGGCCCAGAGGCAGTGATGGACCTCCAGGCCCTCCTGGGCCCCCTGGAAGCATTGGTCCAAAAGGTCCAGAAGGGATTCAGGGACAGAAGGTCAGTACAAATCTTATGACTTCTTAATAATCTCTTTCAGAGTTTGTTACTAACTGTTGTAAGAGAATACAGTGCCTCTGCTCAGTAATCTGGGGATAAACTTCTCTGTCCAGTTGCCACATGAATTCAACAGTATAGCAGTTCCTGGGTTTGAGTCTCAACAGCAGGGTGTTGTGCAAGGCCTTATTCTTGTTTTCTAGATCTGGTATGAGGAGCCTCCTGAGACAAAATGAACCAGCACAGTGGAGAAGGTAGCTCTTCGGAATGGATGGGTGAGTGGGTCTCTGGTTTGCCAGAATCAGGGCTGTTGGCTCTGTGTGTGTACACACATGCATATATACATGCATACCAACAGCCCTGGTTCTGGCACACCAGACCCAGCTAATAGTAATAAATGGTGCCTTAGGCACTGTCTGACAGCTGTCTGTGGGATGTACACACATTGTAGCTCAGGAATACAACAAGGGAGCAATGTCAGGTTTTCCTCATTCTGTTTCTGCCTGAGTCACCATTGCATGTCCAATGTCAATAGTTCTGCTTCTAGTTTTGACCAGTGTTCCCTCTAAGCCAAGTTAGCGTGAGCTAGCTCACAGTTTTTTAGCCTCCGGCTCACACGTTTTTGTCTTAGCTCAGGAAGGAGGGCTCCAGAGCAAACTAATTTATGCAGTAGCCAAATCGCTCACTCACAACTTCAATGCCAGCAGCTCACAGAGTAGAATTTTTGCTCACAAGACTCCACAGCTTAGAGGGAGCATTGGTTTTGACACTGGTAGGCCTGCCATCTCAGACAAGGTTAAAGGCTATCCTAGGTCCTAATAGTGTATTAGTGGTGTTTACACTAGACTTAGCCCTTGAGTGAAGAAGGGAGCACAGTGGGTTTTGTACCTTCAGGAAGGAGATGTCCCTGGTTAATAACTTTTTCAGCTTCCTTCCTTGTCTGTCTTTTTGTCCCCTCTTTCTTTCTGAAGCACTACATAAGCATAGTCACACTTGAGTAGTACAGCAGAGTTGTGCTTAGCCTGGAAAGGAAATTTTTAAAAACAGAAATTCTAATGTGTTTTAAAAATATGTGCACTATGGCTGGGAGTTGTATTGCATATGATGTTGTGAGCATTATCTAATGGCACTCATGTAACCACTTTTGGATATCACAGTGATCGACTAGCTGGGAAAATAATTGTGTTTCCTGACGTATAGTGTGGTTTGGGTACTGGATCAGTTCAGTATATCTGAAACAAAGTGCTTCCTTGAGTAAGGACACATGGATCCCAGATGATAAATGAACAATGACTGCATTTGTTTCTTAATAGTAAGAGAAGCATGAAAGTACTATGCCTGCCTTCCCAATATTCTGTTGGAAGTGTATACTCTACCAGTGTCTTCTCTGGAGAGTACTTCTTTTCTAGCCAGTGTCAGCTGTATTTCCTCTTTCTCAGAGTGGAGTTGGACCATTGTTTTCATCTAATGCTTAACTGGTGTCCAAGACTGGGAAGATAGATTCACATACAGTGACAAGCAACACTTCCAGTTGAGAGGCAATTCTGGCAGATTTGCACTGAGTGATGAGAGCAGAGCAAGTGCTTTTCCCAAGCTCAATCACTGATACAGGGTGTAGTGTACATTGTTCCCACTGGGTGCAGCAGTCTCCCGTATGTGCTTGTGAGCACACTGGATTGGCTGCTTCATGTTTAAAGGAAGTCTTAACTAAACAATTGACATGTGTAGCAAATATGTGTGTGGGAGGGGGCACTGCTGCCCTAACTGAAGAACATCTTGTGGAAACAGCTCCCTCCTTTACAGAAAGGAAATGCAGATCAGCTAATAGTGCTGCTGGCTGTGCTAGGGGATGTTCTTGCTACAAAATTGTCTCAGTACGTTTCTTTTCCCATTACAGGGTGAAAGAGGGCCTCCAGGAGAGTCTGTTTTAGGAACTCAAGGAATTCCAGGAGTCCCAGGAGAAAGAGGACAGCAGGTTTGTAATATGTACCAATCTATGTTTGGTGTTAAGTTAGCTGCCAACATACTTTGTTGCTTGCTTTGGAATAAATGGGTGTGCTCCGTCAGGTCTTGTCAATATATGTAGGGATTTACCATACTATTGGGATAGCCATAAAAGAAGTGCAAAGGCTATTCCTGTAGTCAAATCAAAAGGAAAAGCCTTGATGGATGTCTGATGAAACTTTTTAAATTGCTAAACATAGACTAGATCAAAAGTAAAATGTGACATAAATAGAATTCTAAGTGCGGCTTTTCACCAACTTGCATCCAGAGACAACTAAAACTATTATAATAACCAGTGCAAAGAAAAAAGAGAACAATAAAAAAGAAAGAACAAGAGACCTGCTCCACAAGATCCAGGACATCAAAGGGAAATTCAAACCATGGCTAAGATGTTGAAAGCAACATGGATACACCTTATCTGATCAGAACAAAATAAAGAACAGATGGGAACAATACAGTGAAGAATTCTGAAGTGAAAGCTGCCCTTAAAGCAGTTGGGAGAAACAAATCACCAGGAATAGATGGGGTACCAGTAGAGCTATTTCAAGCAACAGAAACTGAGTCCATCAAAATCTTAACAAGAATATGCCAACAAATTTGGAAAACAAAACAATTGCCCACAGACTGGAAATGCTCAATCTACATTCCAATTCCAAATAAGGGAGACATCAAAGACCGCAGCAACTATGAGACCCATCCCATTAATTTCCCACACAAGCAACATGATGTTCAAAATTTTACAACAAAGACTCTTGCCATATATGGAATGAAATGCCAGATGTTCAAGCTGGATCCAGGAAAGAAGAGGCACTAGAGATCATATTGTAAATTACAATAGTTAACGAGTGTACAAGAGAATTTCAGGGGAAAAATCAGTTTGTGTTTTACAGATTACAGCAAAGCTTTAAGTTGTTTGGATCACAAAAAGCCATGGATGGTTTTAAAAGAAATGGGTGTGCCAGAACATCTGATGTGCAGCCTGTCCTCTAGATAAGAGGCTACTGTTAGGACAGAATATGGAGCGACAGAATGGTTTCCAATTGGCAAAGGTATCAGACAAGGATGCATATTATCTCCCTGTCTGTTCAGTCTGTATGCAGAATATATCATAAGGAAAGCTGGATTAGATTTACATGAAGGTGGGGTGAAAATGGGTAGAAGGAACATTAACAGTTTGAGCCACCATATTACTGACAGAAAATACTGATGACCTGAAATAACTACTGGTGAAAGTAAAGGAGAAAATGCCAAACTAGGATTGTAGCTAAAGCTATAGCTAAGAAGACAAAAATAATTACTACTGAGGAATTACACAGTTTTAAGATTGATAAAGAAGAAATTGAAATAGTCAATGATTTTCTATTCTTTAGCTCAATCATCAACCCAAAGGAACACTGCAACACAGAAATCAGAAAGAGATTGAGACTCGGAGAGCAACCATAAAGGAACTAGATAATATCCTTAAGTGTAAGGAAGTGGAGAACAACATAATTTATACTGCATATGGATTACTATGTGTGGATGTGAAAGTTGGACAATTAAGAAAGTTTGATAGGAAGAAAGTTGATTCCTTTGAAATGTTTTTGTGGAGAGTTTTAAAGATACCATGGACTGCCAAAAAGACAAATAAGTGGGTTCCAGATCAAATCAAGCTTGAACTATTCCTAGAAGGTAAACTGACCAAACTGAGGCCGTAGTACTTTGGTCACGTTATGAGAAGACAAGAGTCACTGCAAAAGACATAATGCTAGGAAAAGTTGAAGGCAGTAGGAAAAGAGGAAGAACCAACATGAGATGGATTGACTCAATCCATGTGTTAATCACTCTTTGGGTGAAGAAGTACTTACTTTTATCTGTTCTAACCCGACTGCTTAGCAATTTCATGGAGTGCCCACGAGTTCTTGTATTGTGAGAAAGGGAGAAAAGTACTTCTTTCTCTACCTGCTCTATCCCATGCATAAATCTTGTAAACCTCTGTCATGTCACCCCTCAGCCGTCGTTTCCCCAAACGCTTTAACCTTTCTTCATAGGGAAAGTGTTCCAACCCTTTTAGAAGGTTAGAGATCTGTTGAAGAGCAAGGTGACTAGTGTCTTGGGTGTGGAGTTACACACACACACATGCAATGTGGGTAGCTTGGGTATATTTATACCCAAAAATTATTCCTGAGGGTATGCTGATGTGGTTGTATCAAAGGAGCTGTAGTGTTGATATATTTATAGGAAGGTTCCCAGAGACCTGGACAAATGGTTAATAGCTCTCCCAGAGGGGGATCAAATAATTTGGCAGAGCTTGATTGCTTTCCTAGAGCTGATCATCTCTGTGGGTGCCCCTTGATGTGCAAGTCGGAGAGGAACTTCCAGGTGTTGTAAATATGCTAAGTGGGTGAATGAAGGAAGCAAGATGGGGATAAAAGAAGTTACCATGAGGTGTGAGGCTGTTTTCCTGAGAGACCCCAATGTTGTAAAATATACATTAGGATGGGTGAGAACTATTATCAGGCCAGCCTCCTTTGATGAACTTCCAGATAATTTCCCCCAGGCTATGCCTGCCGTTCATTGTTCTAGGCCAGGTTTATGATGAGATAAATTTAATTTCTATCTGGAGTGATTTTTATATGAAGGGTGTATGGCATGACTTCCTATTGGAAACCCAGCTGCCCTTCTGTGAGATAGCACTGACTGGCAACAACTGAGATCATCTGAGGAGGACTTGCTCAATGTCCCTTATATTCAGAGCAGGAGCAGAACAAGCTCTTTGCCTTTGTGGCACCCATTTTATGGAACACTTCAAGAATTCTGGCTGAAACTTTCACTTCTGCTGTCAGTTGAAAACTTAAATCACTTCTTAAGGCAGGCAGGGCTGATTAATATGTTTTTCATATTGCTGAATTATGTTGTGTTTTTAGTGCATTATTTCTTCTATCTGGATGGTTTTGTTTTGTTTTAAACTTGTTGCAGGTATCCTAAACCTCTTAGTAGAAAGCAACTCATACATAGCTGTCTTAGCTTTTGGCTGAGCTGGAAGTATGGCCAAGAAGTTTCTAAGTGAAGGCAGTATGAATGTGGAATCCCACTGATGAGGTTCCCCAGGGATCTTAGACAAAGTTTGTTGGGGGAGGAAAAGGCCACAGGATGAACAAACCAAAGGTGGGCAAGAGTCAAGGAAATGGGCAGGATTTTACAGCAGATGAGAGACATTGGGGACCATAGAAGAGGGATGGTAAGAAGAACATGCAAGAGATGCTCAGAAGTAAAAACACAACAAGCAAGAGGGAAGAAAGGAGGGAAGTGGTGGGATTTGTGGCTCTAAGTGGGACAAATATATTTATACCTTCTTAGCTGTAGGATCCTTGGCTATCTGTATTCCTTGCTGCAACTAGAATATTTTCATGTCACTTGAGGTCTGGTCAGCATCTAATTTTGTACCACAGATGTTATTAACATGGTTCCCAATTCGCCTTTTTTCTGACTTCTTTTTTGTTGTTGTTGTTGGCAGGGAAATCAAGGGCCTGTTGGACCCAGAGGAGAGAAGGGAGAGCCTAGCATGACGGTGAGAAGAGAGACCCCTTCATTCCTATGTGAAATCCTGAATCATAAGCAAGAACTCTAGCATAATGCTACTCAATATCAGCCAGACATCGCTATTACAGTAGTCTTTCCTCCTTTTGCAAGAAATTGGGATCGGTTGAGTCCTGGATTCTTACATGGCAGACTTGTAGCATTGCCATCTCCATCTTAGCTTTTCTCTTGTTTAGAAGAGGGATTTGTCATCGCCCCTCATCTCATGTTCTTTCATCAACCAGTGGCATGAAATAGATGACATGCTTTGCATTTCTCCTCTCTCCTTATTCTGTGTTTTCTGCAGGAAGAAGAAATCCGTCTGTTTGTCAGGTCGGAGATGAGTCAGCACTGTGGTAAGGCTATACCCACTACTACTTTCAGACTTGCCTCCAGCCTCCTGTTTTGTCCCAAGGCTTTCATCCTTTCTTTTCTATCCTTCCATATCCCATCCCATTCAGAACAAATTTAGAGTCCAGTGGCACCAGAATAAAATTTTGTTGGTCTTAAAGGTGCTACTGAACTCTAAATTTGTTCTACTGCTTCAGACCAACACGGCTGACCACCTAGTCCTTTAAGAAGCTTCCTGTCAGAGCCAAGGACATGCTGAATGAGAAATCTGCAATTGTATCACCTGACTTTTATCTGAAATGTACTCAAAAGGGGTTTCAAACTTACAGTAGTGGGAAGGAAGACTCTTTCTTCCCATATGCATATGCCGTTTTTCAAATCAAATTGTCACTCTCTAGGTTGCGCTTGAGAGAAACATGGGAATTTGGCAGGAGTTTTAATCAGGAGAATGATATGGAAAAAATTGGGGGCGGGGGGAACCACTGCTCCAAAGAAATGTGCAATCTCCATGGCAGTATTTCAGTTTTAATAAATTGATCCCCTGCAACATGTGTACTTTGGCCCCCTGTGCAGGATTGCACTGTAAAAGTAGAAATTCTTCTTGTCTCATTTTAGCTTGTGGAGGCCAGTTCTCCCCACCAGACACACGTGAGTATTTTCAATATTGTCAAAAATGTGCTTGATAAATAAATATGGTTTGTGCTCCCAGTTATGCAGCAGCCTTCATCTACGTATACTGTTTCCCAAGCAGAAAGACTGTGTAATGATAACTGTATACATCACTGCTGGCTTAGCTAGCAATAGCTATTTCATAATAAATTATTTCCATGAAGATAATGTTTATGTTGGAGAACTGTCTATAACCAGGGTGCTGTTGGGGTAAAGTGGGTACCAAATGTACTGATGGTGTAAGTCATTCCTTGTAATAATTAAGCTAGTGAGACCAAGGTCCTTCGGCCTATTTTTAAAGAAGTATTATTTGTTTAGGATTGCAGCCTACCATCTTTGTAAACTTTGGAACATTTTTTTAAAAATCCATTCAGTTCTACAGCAACCCTGAGAAGCAGATAGCCTCATTTTACAAATAAGGAACAGAAGCTGACTGATAGTTTACCAGGACCATAGTAAACATTGGGCAGAGACCTCAATCTGGAAATGGGTATCTATTAAATACCTAAAGAGTGTTGTTGTGATAGGAATATAAGCCCTACAATGAAACATAGCAGTGGCGGCAGAGGCAGCGAAAACAACAGCAGCTTGCCAAAGTCACACAGGGCTCTGGCAGCCACCCGGGGCAGGAGTGGCATGCACAACCACAGCCTTTCCAGTGTGAATGTTCCTACCCTCCCCATGCACCCTCATGTCAACTTGCTCTTTGATTCCTGCCTAGTAACCCCTGCCAATGCCGGGCTCCCAAATCAGGTCCCCACGACTGCCTGCCTTGCCAGTCACTGCCTTCCATGGTGCCCTTGCCTCCTCCTCCTTCTCAGTGAGCCCACAGCAGGAGCCAGCCTCCACACATTCACCTGGGACATGAGGAAACGCTTCTCCCTCATCCGCTGCCCTTCTCTTCAGTCCCAGAAGGAAACCAGAAGCAACTCCTCTGCCAAAAAAAAAAGAAGAAAAGCCCTCCCTCCTCCTTTTATTGTCTCCGTCATCCAGTCAGTTGCTTTTGTTAGCCATGGACTTCAGGCCCGCAGCTTTGGTCCTGGCTCAGCCACCCTTTTTTTCCATCAAAGCTGGGCTGCTTTGAACCACCCTCCCTTTCCTCCTGTGCCTTTGACACTCCCCCGGGGTTGCACAAGGCTGGGGAGAAACGAAAGGAAGGGCTGGAAACAGGCTCAGAGCTGAGGCTGAGTTTGGGGGAAAGTTAAACAGCGGGGGGGGGGGGGGGACAAAAGACGCACGGGCAAACAAACAAGCACACCAGAAGTGTCTCCTGCCCCTGGTTGTTGCATTTCTTTGACCAAGTCTGGCCTCCCCCCCCCCTTAAAGATGTGTGACACTACCCTTAAAAATTTAAATGCCCCCTGAACAAAAATACCCTGGCTACAGGCCTGAAGAAAAATCAGGCCGCACTGGTCCATCTAGTCCAGCATACTGCTTCTCAGAGTGGCCAACAAGATGCCCCAGAAAGATATACTTTCCCCCCAGCTATTAGCGTTCAGGTGTATGCTGCCACCACCCTCACATCAAAGAGGTGAGGGAGAAAGGGGCCATAACACCTTGCCCAACCTTCCAATTTTTTCTTGCATTTTTAGGAAAAGCCACTGGGGAGAGAAGTGCTGTGGGAAGGGCTAAATATCAGTCATGTTACCTCCTCCAGATCATGTGTTCCCCTCCACTTTTTAGATCCATGCTGCAACTTCCAGATCTGCTGTTGAGTGTCTTGGTTTATCATGTTACTAAGCTCTCAACTGTGATGGAATTTGAATCCTAGTTTCCTATGTCAACATCCAGGTTTTCAGCCATTGGATTACATTGACTTTCACATGTTTAAAGAAAAAAACAAACAGAGCAGCCAGTCCCTGGGTAAACATAAGATGACAGTAATTATTCTGGTTCTTCCCTAAGGGGCATTGTTAAGGAGAGTAAAAAGGAAATCAGGTTTCTTCCAATCTGTCATTGATACTGCTGCATACCTAGGAGCATGATGTGCTGTGCTCATGTGTGTCCCTGACATAAATTTCAGATTGGTGTTTGACTAATAATGGCCTGTGTTTTTGTGTGTTGCTGAAACATTGATTCTTCCCAATATGCAAGCTAATACAAGTATTCAAGACTACTGTGTGGGGCCCCATCCCAAGCATGCAACAGAGGACTGGCATAAAATTTCTTTCTGCAGATATCTGCTGGTTTTTCCAAGAGGCCCTCTACTGCTATGGGTGGAGAGATATGCCTGAACTAGAAATGGAATGCCATAGAACTGGTGTGGGGAAAGAATTTTGTTCCTCTTGAACTCTAGCTGGTGCCTGTTTTGTATTTTTCTGGATGAGGGGAAGAAGCAATGTATCAGTTGTTCTTATGTGCTTGCTGATGTTTCATTGTGACCTCACGCCTCCCAGGTGTCCTCCCCAACTATCCATCCACCCAACCATTCCAGTCTGTTAATGCTCAAGTAGTACCTGTGCTTAAGTTGTCCCATGCTGAGGAAGAGGAGGGTGAGTCTTCTCTCCTGTTGTTTTGTTATGCTTAGTATCATCTCTGTTATCACGCATAGAATTTCTGTCATCACCCTCTCATTTCCTTGCAGACACCAAGTAATTCCAACCAAATTTTCTCTTTCTCAATGGCTAAAATTTTGGGGAATATGTAAGTTATTACTTAGAATGCAGAATTTAGCCATACACTCATTATTAGTATTCTAAGTGTTCTGTTCTGGCTAAGGGCAGTGGATGATGAAATCAATCAAGTAACAGAGCAAAGAGTTCTCCAGAGCCTTGAAGTATAGAGTTTCACAGACAAGACCCCCCTTTGTGAGATGCAGGAAATAGGTCTCCTAAAACTGGTGGGTGTCAAATTTATGCATCTGACAATAGTGGGATGTCTTCCACAAAAGCTAATTCCACAATAAATTTTAGTTTGTATGGTGCCACAGGTGCTTTTTGTGTTTTTCCAAAAAGAGGCTAATACAACTACTCCTTTGCAATTAATACAGACATATTTACCATGGGGATGAGGCCAAAAATATACAGGCTAATCCTTATAGTGATATCAGTCTGTTTCCCCCAGTAGCAACAAGAGTAATAATACCCAGCAAGAAAAGCAGCTAAAAATGTTAGGTTGAAAGCTAGGCTGCAAATATTTTAAATAAGATAAAGCCACATGAAAGAACTGATAGTTGTAGTAGAACATATCATATGTGAAATGGCCCGCAGGTATTCTTTGCTAGAGGGTTGACAGTTGATATCCTAAAATACACAAAGTTGCACATGTCCCTTTGCAGTGGTCTTTGTCTTCCAGCAAGTGACCTACATGTCATATGTGAAAAGGCCCACAGATATTCATAGAATCATAGAGTTGGAATGGACCTCCAGGGTCATCCTTGCCAGAGAAGTGACATTTGATATCCTAAAGTACACAATGCTGCATATGTCCCAGCGCTGTGGTGCTTATCTTCCAGCAAGTGACCTGCATGACATAGATAACCAACACTGGGTGATGATACATATATCCAGAGTTGCTTATCAAATAAAATCAGTATACCAGCTGCAATGTTCTGTCAATTACTAAAGATGGCAAGCTCATCAGCTACCTAGGGATGGAAGGCTAAACATCCTCAGGCACATGAAATCTTCCAGTATTTTTGTTCATTCTTTGCCATACAACCCTTTTCATTCTTGGAGACCTACTGAACAAGCCATTCCTGTTTTGTAGGGGACCACGCACGAAACGTAGTGAACATAAATGAACCTGAATATGAGTATTTCTACACAGAGGACTCTGAAGAGGGCCTGGAAGCAGATGGGACAGAGAGCCCTATGCTGAGGGATGGTGAGGTCCATCAGTCTGTAAAATGTTTTTGAAGGAACTAAAGCTCTTTAGTAAGCCTCTGGGTGACGATAGGAATAGGCTGTGGCACTGGGCTCCTGTTGGTAAAAGTATATCCATCTGGTGACTGCTTGGGAGCTTGTGTGCAATGTATGTGACTTTGTATCTGCTTGTCCACGGACAGACCTTTGGTACAAAACCATTGGCACTATTTGGGCTGCATTCTTCTCCACTGATTTCAGAATTGGCAAAGAAATTCTGAAGAAATAGATGAAGGCATGGCCTTTTTCAGACATAAGAGAGGTGGTCTTTGTCAAATGTAGGGCCTGATGGTCATCCTTGCCTTCTACCAAGAATCCAACGTTAGAAAGCAACAAACAACCACAAAGTGAAGACCCCAAGTGAGCCAAGCGACAAGCTTCCATCTTATTATTGAGCTAGAAAAGAACTCTGTGCAGACTGCTTTGTAACCAGTAAACATTGTTATTAAATAGCTGCGTTCCCCAGCAGCTGAACAAATAACATGTCATTCTCTTGCAGGGTTAGTGTATACTAAATCCAGCATTAAAATTAGATTTCAAAAACGTTGTCTCTTGGGATGGCATGTCACTGACTGACGCTACCTGAGAGATGTGTGATGAACTAATAAAATGTGTCAAAACTCTGGCTTCCTCATCCTGTCAAAAGTAGGGTGCTGACAGTGGGCTGTCATCGAGCAAGGACCCATTCTGCTACTGCCATACTTCTTTTCCTTGTATCTTTCCAACAGATTTCAAGTAATTTTTTCACTTCTGTACTGCAAACTGTGCACAAATGTGAGGTCCCATTTGCAGCTTTGCTCTTGAGTCTGACAGTGTGTGCAGATAGTGAGAACCAGGATGAGAGAACAGCTCCAGCTCATCTTTTCTTTCATTAAGCATATGGACAAGAGGATGCTTCCTATTTGTTCTGTTATCCCCAGGAAATGGATTCAGTTCGTCATTTAAATTCGTAGTCACTCTTCTAAGTCATTGTGTTCCTTCTTTTCTTTATGAAGTTGAGTGGGAAAGGAGTTAATACAAAAGCTTCTTCTTCTTAAACCAGTATTCTGCTCCCTGTTTGTAGAAATTATGAGCCCAGTGGCAGCTCCCAAACATGGACAGCAAAAGAGAGTTCTCTCTGAACAAGGTAAGCAGAGGACCTGCCTTATGGCCCTTCTCTCCCCAAGAAACAGTTTTCTTCCCTTCCATCCTCTTAGGGCTCAAATCCATGTGTTCCTCCTGCTTCTGATCCTATGACTATAAAACAGATGGTTCAGGCAACAGAGAGAGTGTCTGTGAATTCATTCCAACATGCCAGAGTTTTTTTATCTGGCTTATGCCTTAAGGCTCACACAAGGCAGTCAGACACTAGCTGCTCCAAGTTGGTGGATGGTCTTAGCTGACCAAATATGGGTTTATTCTACCCTGATCTTGAGATGGTATAGATTTCTAAGCAGAGATGGCAAAACCGAAATGTAGCCAAATCCAAACAAAACAGACCTCCCAGTAACCACACTCCAAAGAAAACAAAACTGGGGCCAATATCAATCCAAAGATACACTCTAAAAAGTAAGTTGAGTATGCTTAATACATATGCTTTATACTTAATAGTAACTTCTCAGTGTACAAAATTTCCCCAAGTTATATAATCTAGCCATACAATATTCAAAGTATTTACAATAACAAGATAATACAATAAATTGTCAGTTGCTGCCAACAGCCCGAAGGTATCAGTGGAATTCCAAAACAGTTACTGTTGGCAGTCAAAAGAGTATAAGGCTTATAAAGCTTAAAGCTAATGAAGCTTGACGAAGCAGCCGGCTTGTACTTGGTTTCGTCTAATGACTTCCTCATAAGCAGCTTAACTGTAAGATAGAATCCCTAACAATACATAACAATGCATACATTCAAAATTGAGTATAACACTTAACACAGTTGACAAATCCACAAAAAACACTTAACACAATTAACAAACCCCCAATAAAAGTTAAGGTTGAGATATACTACCTGATGTTGTATACAAGTTTTCTTAATGTGTGTATTTTTCTGGTTTTTAAAGACTCTTCTCTAGAGTTGCTATCTTTAATATAGGGACTAGCCCTTATTTCCTACAAGACAGAGGTATTGAAGTTTTTAGTACCATTATATATTTAATTGCATTATATTAAGTAAAGCGATCCTACTTGCTACTCACCTTGGACCATATCTCATCTGGGACCTGTCCTTGATAGACTAAGCTTCGTAGCCAAAGGAGAGACCTTTGGCTACGAAGCTTAGTCTATCAAGGACAGGTCCCACAAAGGAGAGACCTTTGGCTACGAAGCTTAGTCTATCAAGGACAGGTCCCACATGAGATATGGTCCAAGGTGAGTAGCAAGTAGGATCGCTTTACTTAATATAATACAATTAAATATATAATGGTACTAAAAACTTCAATACCTCTGTCTTGTAGGAAATAAGGGCTAGTCCCTATATGAAAGATAGCAACTCTAGAGAAGAGTCTTTAAAAACCAGAAAAATACACACATTAAGAAAACTTGTATGCAACATCAGGTAGTATATCTCAACCTTAACTTTTATTGGGGGTTTGTTAATTGTGTTAAGTGTTTTTTGTGGATTTGTCAACTGTATTAAGTGTTATACTCAATTTTGAATGTATGCATTGTTATGTATTGTTACGGATTCTATCTTACAGTTAAGCTGCTTATGAGGAAGTCATTAGACGAAACCAAGTACAAGCCGGCTGCTTCGTCAAGCTTCATTAGCTTTAAGCTTTATAAGCCTTATACTCTTTTGACTGCCAACAGTAACTGTTTTGGAATTCCACTGATACCTTCGGGCTGTTGGCAGCAACTGACAATTTATTGTATTGTTATTGTAAATACTTTGATATTGTATGGCTAGATTATATAACTTGGGGAAATTTTGTACACTGAGGTTACTATTAAGTATAAAGCATATGTATTAAGCATACTCAACTTACCTTTTAGAGTGTATCTTTGGATTGAAAACCGAAATGTAGTCTGAGGACTAAAGAAGAATTCAGTCTGCTGGTAATAGGCAGGTATGCACTAGAGTACGTATTGCTTAAATTTGTTGGGATAAAGATAGTGACAGGTGCCCAGAGCTTGGTTTTTTTTAATTATAGTCCATGGACCACACAAATGCTAGCTTCCACAAATCAAATTAACATCCAAGCTATGTGAGATTAAGAAAATCTGTAGACTGAAGACCTAAATGCAGAGATCTTGTCTTTTCATCAGCCATATCATTATGGAGACTTTTCACATGTCATCAACATCTTTGTTTCAAATATCAAGAGCTCAATACTGCAGGGATAACTAAGCGATATGCAATTAAGGGCTATATTGTCATCTTGCTATATGCAACATTTTTCTTACTACTGTTTATGGACTGGAGCAGACAGCATCTACCCAGCGTAAAAACATGACCAACCTGCAATTCTGCAAGAATCTAGATGGCACTGTGATACAACTTCTGATGTCAGTCATCCCAAGATAAGGAACTCATTATCTTGACAATGCCTTTATTGTGAGAGTGGCACAGGACTTCTAAAGGGGAACAGGGATCATCTTGAGTTAGCTTCATCAAATGACACCCAAAGCAATTTTAACCCCCCACCCATTGCTAGATATAACATTCATTAGAAAAACTTTATGTGCAACTTTGTTATGAAAACAATGCCCAAGGCAACTGAAAACAGTGTAAAGACAAATCATAATAAAAGGTAGTATAATGTAGTAGTAGAGTGCTGGACTAACAGGAGAGATCTGTGTTCAAATCTTCTTGTGTTCCTGTATTCAAATCCATTAAAATCTTGTTGTTGTGAGAATAAAGTGGACTTGAATTCTATTATGCCACTCTGAAATCCTTGGAGGAAGGGTGGGATAAAAATGCAACAAATAAAAATCAATAGAACAATGACAACAGCAGACACCACATTAAGACTCACAGTACAGAACTGCAGCACAACTAACATTCTAAAATCTTAAAGCATCTGGACAATTCAGGGTTGCTGAATACGTGTCAATGGAATTGCACCAAGTCATCCCATGATGGCCAGCCCACTAATAATCTGATCTGGTAATAGTTCTGATCCTACTACAGTGTATTTTAAACCAGTTCCAAAAGACAGTGCGATAAACCTTACAGTTTTGCATAAGATAAGCTACAATGACCCGATTATAGCTACCTTGGGTGCAGCAATTACCTTTTATATTTAGTTGAGATACAATGAGAAAATTTAGCCTTTGTGCACATGACCTGTCTGGGCATTGACTGAATGTGTGGAAAGGGAGAGTGGGCCCAAGTTCACTGGCCCCACCCACCCCTCCAAGTGATAGCTGGTTCATGACATTCAGAAAGCAGCACCAATGACTATGAGGAGCGATCACATGAGCAGGCAGTTCCTCCACACACAGGCACTGTGCTCATGAACGGCAATCACACAGACGTGGAAGACAAAGCCAGCATACTCATGCCTGCTCTCCCTCTCCAAACATTCTGTGAACATGTAGATGGGCTATGTGTACAGGCCTTATGTGATAAGTGATTTACATGTGAGCTTCACACAGATGAAAGCTGAAGTTAACTACCAAGAAAAGTCTTCAGATTTAATTCAGAAACTTTCAGGCAACTTCTAATACTGACATATTATAACACGGACAGGGCTCAGTACTGTAGGCTTAAATATACGTATGAGAATATATGTGAAAGCCGCTAGTATGCGAACTACCAACCTCATATGACTTCTTTCCATCCTATCCTTATGTTGTAGCTGGAGCACTAGAGAAGATGTACATTGTTTTCTGTTGTGGTTTCTGCTGAATGTAACATCAGAGAGGAGATGCTTTACCCTACAGAAGCTGATGTATAGGTCCATTTTCTTCTTCCAGCTGACCCATGTGCCTTGCCCTTGGACGAGGGAGACTGCAACAACTACACATTAAAGTGGTACTATAACCAAAGAGTAGCCGAGTGTCGACCCTTCATCTACAGTGGCTGCGGAGGGAATCACAACCGCTTTAACTCCAGGGAGGCCTGCGAGCATCAATGCACGCCACAAGCAAGTGCAAGTAAGAGTTGACAAAGAGGTTCCAGGCTTGCACACCCTTAATGCGGTAAACGTAAAAGACAGGGGCCATTTCTAGATATTGTTTTCCAATCATGGTTTTCTTTTTTTCTTTTTTTGCAGATGGATAGGAAAAAGGCATATAAATTCTGAAGTGGGGCTCTTATTCTGATGGAACAGAGGAACTCACCAAAAGAAGAGATCACCAGCCTTGCAGGTTCTGGAAGGGGAAACCTAGTCATAGCCTGCACAAGATCTCAGATATACACACTTCCTTTGGCCACAGACTCACCTTGCTGCCATTTCCACTGCTTGTAGCACGAGAGAGAGAAAGAGAGAGAGAGAGAGAGAGAGAGAGAGAGAGAGAGAGAGAGAGTGTAGGCTGCTTCATCTGGAGCAGAGAAACGGTGCTATTCATTTTTTAAAAGAAAGTATTTTTATTGCTCTTGGTTTATTTTTTAAATTAAGGTGAAATTTTTATCAAATGAAAAACATAAACATAACTTCTTTTATATGTAATATAAAAAAGAAAAGACATATTTTAATTAGAGGAGTTTTAACTTATTTGATGCTGGCCAACTGACGACACATGGAATGTATTATAGTCAGACCAAACTGATTCTCTTTGCAACTTGCTTTAATTCAGACATATTGGCTCCGGCGGGAGGGCGGGATAGAAATTTAATAAATTTTAAAAATATAAATAAATAAAAGTTTGTCCTCTTACAGTGAACTACGAGGAAATTAGATTGCCTCCTAACCAGGCTAATATTCCCTTTCATTAATTAACAGAGCTTTGAGCACAAGGGCACAGAATTCCCAGGATGCACTGCCAAAACCAGGGTTCTGTTGATGCTTCTGATGAAGATTGCCCTTCCATCTCTGTCCCTTCGTTGCTTGTTACTCTTTGTTGCTTGTCTTATTCCTTACAAGAGAAGCTGGTGCTGTTGTTGACTCTTTTTCACAGCTGCCAAGCTAGGCTGTAGGAGCATGTCCATTTTCTAAGCCCTGATCTAGCAGGAATAAGGATTTGGTGCTTGGAAGGGGCTAATCAGATGAGAATTCTCCCTGAGTGCTAAGGACATAAAAAGGAGGGAGAATCCCTCTTGCCCTTTTAAGCATGTGTCTGTTGTCAGTAGCATATAGCCAGGAGCTTTTTTGAATAGACGCAGTTTAGAACTACTTGCTATCCCACGGTCCAGATCAAGGTTTTTCTGGATAGCAGCGCTATGAGAGCAATTGCTCTTGTTCCCATTCCCATGATCCCATGACATTTGCTTTGTTTCACACTCGCTCAGAGAAAAGTAAGCTAAATCTCAAGGGCTGTTCCATGGACTCTGATATGTCCATTGTTTTGTGACAAAAAAATCCATTTCTTTTCAGAAATGAATCCCAAACTAGATACACATATTTCAGTACACGTTACATGTTCACAAAACAGTCAACATTTTTCTTTCCTCCACTTATTGCATCCCTCACATACTGGCAGAAACTTGTCCTGGTTCAGTCAGCAATTGCACGTAACGGCCATATTCATCTTATGGCTGAAGATGGGGAGTTCCTCTCATTGAGAAGCATGTGTTGCTTGAGTATCGAAACTTTTTAAAGGCTCACCAAACTTTTCTACAATGCTTTGACAATATCCACAAACATATAAGACAGGGTCACGTAGTAGGCGAGCAGTGCCATCCTAAGCTGCACCCAGGGGACTCAGAAGGGTTTAACTGTGCTTAGGAAACCATCTTTGGACTTCCAAAAAAACTCTGAAAGGTTGGTGAGGCTGTAACGACGTTGTGTATTTTGCTTATTGCTTAGGGCTGAGGGGCATGCAGCTGTGAAAGAGTACCCAGAAGAGTAACACTCCTATGTGTAAATATGGCTCCCCAAAAATGAATTCATTTGAAGAAATTTCACCTTATTCCAGGCAAGCAAGCAATAGTCTTCAATAAACTATAGCATATTGGAGAACATTACACAAAAATCAGAGCACATTTTTGTTATGGGTGAATTCTGTATGGAACATCCATTGTAATCGTCTTTTCTTAATCTGCTGAACTGTATCATGGAAATAATCAGTGAAACGCTGAGAATGGTGCTATGCTGTTGTTGTTTTCCTACCACTACAGGGCATTTTTACAAAGTTTTGTAAACTTGTGTTTCAGTACTAATTTTCTGTTACTGTCCCATCTCTTCACCTAAGGCTGCCACTGCCCCATCCATCTTAGCCCTGCTTCCATCTATCTCCCACTCCGCCCTATGGCAGGCTCTATTCTGTATGTCAAGTGCAAATTCAGGTCTGTCAGCTTCTTAAGACTCTGTAGAAAAGGGGGGGAGTGGAAGCAACTGTATATGGTATGTGTGCTGCTGTGAAAGTATATGGGAATAAATGTGAGAAGCTGTGTGTTATCGCTGATGTGCTAGTGAGTAACATATGGAATAATTACAGCGATCATTCAGTAATCCCATGGGTGGACATGCAACAATAACTTGAGAAAAATAATACAAATATACAATTCTCAACCTACAGGATTACCAGGGAGTAAATCGGCTAGGATTGTAGCCTTTGGAGGATGCTTATTAACTGTCCAGTTCTAATATTAATAGAAATGAGTACTTTTGGTTTCAGTTGAATTTACTTCCATGTTTTGTTAGTGAGGATTAAGAGTACAGTTAAACACAATCCATTGAACATACTGATGCCCTGTGCATGTTTTTAATCTCTCCTTTCTCGTAAACTTTTCATTTTTCTCTATTAACTTGTACTAAATGTCTTGACCCAAAAAATTCCCCATTTTTGTCACATGCATGCTTACAAATCCAAAAGTATGTCTATGATGGATTGTAGTTTTAATTTCCATTGGACTTCCAACAGAATCTGTACCTGATTTTCTCAATATGTACATAGCATGTTTGGATCAGAGTTCAAGGTACTGCTACAGTCAGATATTGAGACTGCAACCCTGAAAATCTGGGTTGAGACAGCATTTTGAGACTGCAACCTCAGTGGAACGTATGAGCAAAATGCTGCTCCTCTGGTTTCCAGCAGTAGCTAACTCAGTGATTCATTACAATGATGCGTTTTCAGTTAAGGCCTATGTTTATCTGTTGGACTTTGCTGAATTTTGTAAGGGCCTGTAGGTTATCACGTGGGATGTCACTTAGCTTTCTATGCTGCTGGCTAGCAAGACACTCTAAATCAGAGAGATTTTGACCATTTTATTATTAAAATAAAAGGATTATTCCTATAAATCTCATAATCCATGAAGAAATGTTACATTTGCAAGTGCAAATCTGTTCAAATGTAATGTTCCAATATCAGAAAACAGAACATAGCAAGCACTGCAAATCTGAACCAAAAAAACAAAAGACCTAGTGGTAATTTATGCCTGAGATCTGCTGGCAGGGTTTATTTGAATAATCTTGAGTTTGTCAATCTGAAACTAGCTGTCTGCAGTACCCATGGGTTTATGTATCTGGAACTGGTACCTAGTGATGCTAGCTTTGGAAAGGCTGGACTAGATATGATAATCCTTCCAAGTTCTGTTATTCTTTGAACAAAGGGTAAATTGCTGTTAATGTAAAACAGAGAGAATGACACCTCATTGCATGGAACTCCTCTAGGCAGCTTCATTCATTCTGACTAAAGATAAACCAGCTGTATCTGGTCTTTTTTTGCCTTCTTCTTGGAACAGTGCAAGCATTACAGAGTTCCCTTCTACTGAATCAGAATATTTCAATTTGAGATCCTGGGGATTAAACGGGAGACTCTCTGCATACAAAAGTGTACTAAACTGTAGTCCCTCCCTAACATTATAAGTACTATCAATTTCAGAATAGTAGCCAAGTTTAGTCATTTAGTAAAAACAAAACAAAAAGTTCTTGGCACCTTAAAGACTAACATTATTGCAACATAACCTTTCATAGACTGAACAGAAATAACTCCATAATTCAAAATACCCACAATCTCACCCCAAAGTTGGCCCTGTCTGTAGCTAGACTCCTTGGATGAACTGCAGGGAAGAATTAAACCTGATTTGTGACCTTTGTCCTCTGTTTGATGGGCTTGCTTTTTTTTAAAAAGGCACCCACCCTTTTGGTGTTTGCTGCCCTATTTTATGCCTGGGATACTGAATGCAGATGCAGAAAGACAGTTTCTTTTTATATGATGTCTCTATGTATGGTGCAGAGATTCAAATGTGGTAAATGAATAAAAGTTTGTGGTACCTCATTAAGTCAAGTGTGTCCATCATCTGTTTTGTTGCTATCCAACACTGAAACACAGAAGACATCAATCTCCATCAACAGATCCAAAGATTTATGGTGCTCAGGAATGCTGAGGAGGAGAACAAAATATTGGAACTTACCTGAAGGTTTTTTCTCTTCAGTGGAACGAAGTCATCCAAACTGATTAGGTCACGCCTCCTAAGAGAGCCAGTTTGGTGTAGTGGTTAAGTGTGCGGACTCTAATCTGGGAGAACCGGGTTTGATTCCCCACTCCTCCACTTGCACCTGCTGATGTGACCTTGGGTCAGTCACAAGCTCTGGCACAGCTGTCCTTGAAAAAGAGCAGTTTGTGTCAGAGTTCTCTCAGCCCCACCCACCTCACAGGGTGTCTGTTGTGGGGAGGGGAAGGGAAAGGAGTTTGTAAGCCGCTCTGAGACTCCAAGTGAAGGGCGGGGTATAAATCCAATCTCTTCTCTCTTCTTCTCCTCTCACTCCACGCAAGGCCTGGTCCCAGGCCTTGCATTTTATATGCCTTTCGGATACATGGCTTGAGACCTTTTTACCTAAAGGCTGTGAGATACAGACAAAATCCTTTAGCCTAGTCTGTGCCGTCCTGCTTAATCAGACGTATGGAGCCCGACACACATCTAGTTTGTGCCAGACTCTCTCTTTGGGATAACATGGTGTAGGACAAAAGGATGGTAGTACCAACTGGGAAATACTTTGGCATAAAGGAAGGATCCCTCCTGAGTACCAGTAAGACCTTGTGAAATATACACAATTCCTTCCTGGCCAATAAAACCCTAATTCAGAAATCCTTCCTGCAGAAGTCATCTCCACAAGAAAAAAGACATCTTGCAAGAAGGAAACTAGATTCTGATGATTTGAAAGGATCAAACGGAGGTTTGCTCAAAGCCTGTAACACTTTAGAAAGGTTCCCAATAGGCAACCTATGCCTAATGGGAGTGCCAAATATATGGTTCCTTTGAAGAAAAACCTAATATGCCCATGAGAAGAAAAATTATGTAGTCTTTTACAGTACCACACAGCGGCCAGTGCTGCAACCTGTCTTTTAAGGTATCGGTCTCAGAACCTGATTCCAACCTTCATGTAGAATGTTTTTGTAAGTTGGTTTCAGTGGATCCAGCTTTTTGATACTGGTCCACTTTTGAATGTCTGCCATGTACGATAATAGAGATGACTGGAAGCAGGTATTCTGGACTGCAACATGATGTCAACTACTTAACTTGGAAGGCCCGATCCTTCTAAATCTGCCCATTAAATCTCTAAGCTGTCAGCTGAAGTCAAATAGGGTCTATAGCCCACTGCCTTTTACAGTTGGTAAAG